AAAACTTAGGAAAGGATGCAATTGAGCTCACAAAATGTGCTTAAAATGCTTCCATTTTTGCCCAAACAACTTCAATACAATTATATATACTTGAACAGATTTCTGCTTGCCCAACTAATTTAAAGAAAATTTTAACTCTTATCAATTTTCGAATTTGAATTTGTTGTAAATTTCTGATATTTCATAGATGTTGTGCAAATAGCGTCCATAGATATTCGGGTGTTATTCACCTATCTGTCTATTACTATTATGGTACTTTCATCAATTCCTTACGCAAATTGAATTCTGACTTGACTTTGTGCATTAATCTAAGAAGGTTCTTTCCCTCGAATACAACAAGAAAATCTGGAATCACTCCAACTTATGTGCCATATATACTTTACCATGTTGAAAAATTATGGTACACAGATTCGATAAGGATTGATCCTTTAATCTGTATGATCTTCAATACATTTGTTTTGGTTGTTGCGTTGTTGCTGGCCTTGCGATTGTAGGGATAGTTGGGAAATGGTACATTTGATTATTTTGTAAGTTGCATCCTAATTGTTTGAATCTAAGTTTTAAAGAAGTTAACTCACTTATTCTACTAAATCTATTCTAGAGAAGAATTTTTTCTTACTTAAATGTTCTAGGATTGTGTTTTTCAAATCGAGAAGTTCTAAGTTTTCATGTCTACATATACTTGGATTTCTTGATGTCCGCAGAGACTTAATACTCTAATTGTTTCATTATTTATTGCTCCTACAGGACAAGGTTGAGGGGAGAAGTAGATGATTGATTTGTCTAGATTAGTGCAAAAGAACCCTGATAAGAGATGGTGAAACAGCCGAGAGAAAGAGTATTTCCAACAATCAAGTGAAGCAATACCAACAGAAAAAGATAAGATAATAGAACATAGAGAAGGGTGATGGTAACTTCATCAGATTCTAGCCTATAAACTTCCAGAAAAGAATGTTGTCTCTTGGAATGTTGTGTTATGTAATCTTGCACAAAACGAAATGGCTAATGAAGCTCTGGATATGTTTTAGAAAATAAAATCAAATGGTTTTCCACCCAATGGTGTTACCCATCTTGGTTTGCTTCTGGCGTGTAATCACGTTGGACTTCTTGATGAAGGTTATTCGTATTTCAATCAAGCTAGACTTGAGAGACCCAGTATGATCAAGACAGAGCATTATGCTTGCATTGTTGTATGATGATGCAATTAATGTTGCAGATGTCATTATGCACAATTCTCAAATTTTAGTTTTTGTAGCTCCATTGATGACTGTAACAGTGTACAACTGATATGTTTACTTGCACTTTTGATTAGATACTTGAGTCATTATTAAGGTCTTCTATGGAGACACTTTCATGTTCATTTCCAAAGTCCAAACAGAGTCACTCAGAAATATTTTGCATTAGAGTTGGTACTGAAACAAACGGAGTCTGCCTTTCATTTCCAAATTTCAGTAATTTTAAGCTTCAACTATGTTCATTCTCAGCTCTATATTTTGTCATTATCATTATTGTGTTTCAGTACAATGATGAAGAATTGATGCATGTCGGCAAATAGGAATAATTTGGATATTCTATGTAATTATTCCGATATCGTGAATTCTATCATGGTTCAAGTAAAAATCTCAATACTGTGATCATCTCAATTCTTTCAGAATCCATTAACGAATACATAAATCTGGTTTTTCATTTCAATCTAACTGCAGCCTGGTACCCTACCAGGCTACTACTCACCTTAGGCTACACATGGTGCAGTACCACCCCTAATAAAAGAAAAAATGTCACTTTCGTATGATCAGATTGAATCATATGTTTAAAGTGAATAAGGGTCAATATAGATTTACTCTGAGTCGCTATATGTAAGTAACTATCTACTGATCTGTAAAGTAACTACAGAAGCAAATTCACGTACGATGGCCGCCAGTAAACTGAGTAAAGTAGTATTAACCCATGAAGTTAATTACTTTTCACAAAATGCGATCAACAGTTTACAATCCCCGCTTTTTTTTGTGTTCAAATATACACTACTTCGGAAGTTTGGATTAACCTACTGTTCTTGTAATCCATTTCGATCTCTACATACAGCTTGTTTGAATACACAGAAGTGGACACATTAAACATTCCCACGTAAAATTTTTTCACGAAAAAATGTGGTTTTTAAGTTGTGAAGGATCATGTGATTTATGATCTTATGACCCTGCAAGGTTTTTCCTTTCTGGTTTTCTCCCTTAAGTTTCTATTTATTCCATCCGTTCTAAAATTAGGGTCATATCAGTTGTATAAAAATAAATCGAAAGTAACTATTTACGAGATATTTTTTAATTATTTTTTTTATTAGACCTTTCCCCTGTCACAGAAATAAATAATCCATATACATTTGGTCCGGTGGTATGAGTTGCTGGCATGCGACGACTTTGATAATAAGAAAACCTTGTTCTGTAATTTACTAATTTGGCCGTAAAAACGTTGGTCATTTCTTAACTCCAGAATTAAGCCCTTCATTCATTAAACAAAAATGGCCAACTGGAGTATGTTTTTTCTGTTATTATGCTCCAACAGTTTTATTGTTCAACAATCTGAAGCATCTCATGATTCAAGAGTTTACAGAAACCTTGCAGATCTTCAACCTAAGACCCCAATTAAGTCAGACTTACACAACTTCTTTCCCTTCTCCAACGTCCCAAAAACTGGATGAACGGTATATACCATTTTTATCTTTGGGGGTGGATTATTTTAATGAATGAATGTGCATGGAGACATTGTGTTTTACGTACAAGGAGAAATGAAACTTAAACGTTAACGTAGTTTGTTTTGTCTCTAAACTAGTTCGAGTTTATTTTGTGACTGCATTGATAAATGTGCACTGGAACTTGTCATTTTCCCTAAACAATAAATTTCATAATATTGAACTGATATAAACGACTCTTATGACGAGTAATAATCAACGGTCCAATTTGAAGTGAAGACCTAATATTTTAGTTTTTTTTTTTCTTTGTCTAATTGGGAACCTATATCTTATTGTTCATATATACTACATGTTCATTCATGCATGTGTATCGTATATATAAAACACATGGGATTATTGATCGCAAACATGTGAACTACAAAAGTAGTGATGATCTGCACATTTTGTCTAACCCTGCTCCAAGTTTGTAGCTCGTATGTACGGCGGTTTTGTAGGCAATATGTTAATTGAATGATTTTGAATATTAAAAACTATTCTAAATATATTTAAATTAACGAAATGCATTGATAATAAAAATTACGTAATTGTAATTTATATAATTAATTTTTTTAATATATCACTCTGTTGGATATTTAATCATTAAATAATTAAATTCATATATATTTTTGAACAATCCGCACAATGTGCGGGATAAACACCAAAGTATGTACATAAGGAGTATTGCTGATTGAGATGGGTTGTCAGTCATTTGAGTGGACGTTCTCTAGTCAAATTTAACACCACGATTTAATTAAATACTGCAATCTCTATTTCATGAATTTGATTAATATGAAGTGGGCAAGGTATTAGAATTTATAGTTTACTGAAGCATCTCTGACCATATGTACCTAACAATTATTTTTAATATCAAATTAGTTTACTGATAATTACGCACATTAATTCTTGGGGACAATAATCTAGTGGCCAAATGCAGTGTAGGAATGTGTATGTCTTTTGATCCCCTTCACCCCCACAAAGCCCATAAATTGAAGACGGATGTAAAATTTTGAATAAATGAGAGGGATGCAAATTTACTTTATTTTTTATTTTTATTTTTTATTTTTTTTGAAAAGGAGAGGGATGCAAATTACTTGGCAGATTAGTTCTATTTCAGATGCTATTTTTCATACTCGTTGGCCATATAATAAATTTGTTGTAAATTTTGGTTTACTCAAATAATGGGACTCTTATCATAATCAAATACTATGTTCAAGGCAAATTGTAAAAGTCGTGGTCAAAACTCTTATCCAACAATTAATATGAACGACTATCGCGTTTTCAAACAAATTATAAATGCATAACCCTGAATAATGTCAATAAACTAGTGCCACAATCTGTTCTTCTGGGAAGATGCAGATCCGGTCCACCCAAACTTACAAATTCCAGACTATTAGTAGTAGTGTTTACTATTAATTCATTCTTTTTTTTTTTCCAAACTAAACGCTGAAAGTACAGCTTAGTCGATAATCTCTAGAATTATTATTATTATTATTATTATTATTATTATTTTGGCACAATAGAATTATTTTTTTGTTTTCCCTTCCGGAAAACGGTCCTTATAAATTTTCTGTATCGAGGTGCTAGAAAACCAGCAGGAGAAACACACACACACACACACACACAGAAACATGATTTCCAGTAAGATGGTGTTTCTTCTGTTCTTCCTGCTTTCTGTTCCATGGGCAAATTGTAGTCCACTTCATGAAGAATTTGTTCAGTGCCTGTCTGCCAAAGCTACAGCCCATGATCCTTTTTCTAGAATCCTTCACATTCCAAAATCTCAATCATACGAAAATCTACTCCAAAATGCACAAGAAAACCCAAGATGGAACCATAATTCCACTGCTTCTTTGAAACCTCTGTTCATAATCACACCATTCCATGACTCTGAAATCAGGGCCACCATTTTATGCAGCAAACAGAAGGGACTGCAAATCAGAATCAAAAGTGGAGGTCATGATTATGAAGGCCTTTCGTACCGCTGCCAAACTCCATTCGTTTCATCGATCTTCTCCATTATAAAGCGATTTCGGTCGATCTGAAACAGGAAACGGCTTGGGTTCAGTCAGGTGCTACCCTGGGGGAACTTTATTTCGCCATATCCCAAAAGAGTGATGTTCATGGATTCCCAGCTGGATTGTGTCCTACCGTTGGAATTGGTGGGCATTTCAGCGGCGGAGGGATTGGTACGATGATGCGAAAATACGGGCTCGCGGCCGATAACGTTGTCGATGCCCTGATTGTAAATGCTGATGGTGTGTTTCTTGACAGGAGAGCAATGGGGGAAGATTTGTTCTGGGCTATTAGAGGAGGCGGAGGAGCTAGTTTTGGTGTCATTCTTTCCTGGAAGATCAAATTGGTTCGTGTTCCCCGAATTGTTACAGTTTTCAACCTACGGAAGCAGCTGGATCGACAAGGGACTAAGCTGGTATACAAATGGCAGCAAATTGCTCCTAATCTACCTCCTGAATTGTTCATAAGAATTCTCATTCAAAGTGGAAGCAACACCGTTGCGGCCAATTTCAATTCCCTGTTTCTGGGATCAAAAAAGGACCTGATTCCCCTGATGAAACAGAGGTTCCCTGAATTGGGATTGCGCCCGGAAGATTGCGCCGAAATGAGCTGGATTCAATCTGCTGAGTTCTTTGCAGGATTCCCTAACCAGGTGGAAGTTCTACTCAACAGAACTGACCAATACAAGAGCAAGTACAAAGGGAAGTCCGATTTCGTCACCGAACCGATCCCTGAGAGTGCCCTGACGCAGATATGGAAAAGGTATCCAGAAGAAGGACTAGCTTTCATGATCATGGATCCTTTTGGGGGCAAAATGGGTGAAATCCCGGATTCGGAGACACCCTTTCCTCACAGGAAAGGGAATTTGTACAACATTCAGTACTTGGTGAAGTGGTATGATGAAGATGAGGCGAGGCATTTAAAGTGGATCGATGAACTCTTCAAGTTCATGAGGCCATATGTGTCCAAATCCCCGAGGCGTTCATATCTGAATTACAGAGATTTAGACTTGGGAATCAATCTGGGAATGAATCCAAGATTTTTAGATAGTGCAATTTGGGGGATGAAATATTTCAATGGTAATTTTAAGAGATTGGCTAGGGTGAAAGGCCTAGTTGATCCTAAGAATTTCTTCAGGAGTGAACAGAGTATTCCTCCCATTGTTAAGCAGTAGAAAACAACGTCTAAGTGTAACCAGTTGCCTTAAGCTTTAAAATGAAACCTGATTTTGTTGGCTACTTTTTTTTCCCCATCTCCAGGTTGTTACCTATTTCAAAACAAAATGAGCTACCACGAAACCATAATTGCCATCCTTTCCAACTAAATGTAAAAGAAACTCATCCAAAACGCATATCTCTAGGTGGTTTAGTACATCAAATTCATGCCAAAAGGATGAAATATTTGCAGGATTTAACTTTGGCAGACAAGCACTGAACAAATTCTATATGAAGCTAGGAGAGGATAACAGAGCCACTATTTTAAGAGAATGAGTAGTTTCAAAATGGACTCAATACATGAAGTGCAAAATGGATGGGAACACAAAGGCTTTAGCACTTCTCACTTTAATGGTGTCTTGGCAGCATTCTGGAGTGAGCATTTTGCGACTCCCGCTCACATAAGGCCAAATGCAGCACAATCTTCCTCACCATCTTCCATTGTGGCCATATCTAATGTCGCAAAAAAAATAAAAATAAAAAGAAAATGCAAGTGATGCATAATTTGAAGTAATTAGCAATGTTCTCCGTTTTCACTCTGGCTCAATAGCTAGGAATAAGAACCTTAGATGATACATATCCAAACTATCTTTGTATTTTGTTTTAATTTTTGGCGCTTCCTTACCAAAACGGTGCATTTGCTAATTTGAAGTATCAATGGCCCTAAATGTTACTCTTTCCATATCAGAAAAATAGTCTGATCGAATTTTGAGGTTTGCACTTATTATTTGAAAAAAAAAAAAATTTCCTTGGGCAGACGCAAAAAAATTTCCTTCGGAAAGAACTTCTATGTGGAAAACAGGGACCCCTGGAAATGATATCAGCAGACGCAAAAAAAGATAGTCCAGTCTAAGTTTCCTTGGGCAGTTAGGTCTATCATATGACATGTATGATTGTATGTCCAACCATCCTACTTCTCATTATCAACTCAGAACAAAGGATCCAACTTGTTAATTGCTAAAACAGGCCTGATCATCTCTCCAAGAGCCTGTCGAGGGCCAGTTTCGGTTTGAATGCAAACGCCCTCAACAAAATCAACCACAACCAAAGGTTCCATAGGGAGATACGAAGGGCGGCTGTGACACCGCGAGACAATGTCCAACTATACAACCCTCCGTAAATATTTAGAATTTAGAACCCACGGAATTTCCTAATGAATTCCATGTACAAATCTGTTATCACCACACAAAATAGAATTCATGTACAAGGCTGTTATCACCACACAAATGACATACCAGCCATCTACACGTTATCCACATCACCCCACGCTTTCACTGGAAAATGAAAGCATGCGACACCCTTTCTCCAGTCGAATAGCAAAGTAGTCCCGACAGAGACTCATGGTTGCTGAGTTTGTGTGTGTGTGTGTATGTATCCAAAACTTCACGAAAATTTTTCACGGCCAAGATGGCATGACAGCGAATTGTCCACACGGAGGGAGGTCAAGTGAAGAGGAACCTAATACCTTTTAGAGCTGCGACAGATATCTTAACTAGATGAGAGCAAGCAGCATCAGGAGATGCATCAAATTGACTTGGGGGAGGTGGCATCATGAGTGGCATAAAAGCAAGCATCAAAGTCCTCTACTTCTAGGTTCTCAACAACTTCAGGGCATGTAGATCCCCACTCGCGGGAATCCGTTAACGTAACTTCGGAGAGTCGTTAAGAACTTCATTGGCAGAATTACCTCCCAGATCGAAAGTGTTCGTCAGCAGTGAAATTTGTGCCCACATCGGACCCAGGGCTGAAAACCCGGCGGTAACAGGACGGCCATTGATAGGGGTCGCAGACATGAGTTTAAACGACACGAAGGACCCCTCATCGGAAACACCGTACATTCAAAACTCATGGCCTGAGATAAAGAACATCGGTTCATCCACAACCCTGGCGAAGCTACGAAAAGTGTTCACCAATAAATGCGCGCGGACTAAATTCTTGTGGCATCGTCACAAAGATAGCGTCAAAGGTTTTAGGGTTAGACAGATCTGAAATAGGGGACTATGAGCTAAATATAATAATGATTTTTTAGCCAAAAAAAAAAAGAAGAAAAAAAGAGTTATGGATTCTACCGAAAGGGGCCGATACATTACATAACTCTTTTCGGTAATGATTTATTACGCTTAATTATCGACATTATTTGTTATCCTTAATACTATATAAGAACTCCGATTTATATTCAATTCTTTTCCATTTGGATACTTTATTTTGTTGCTGATTTGAAGTAGTAGAAATAATTTTGAGACATGGGCACTGTTCGCACATGAGCTTGAAATCAAAGCTGGTAGTTGTCGGAACTTTGGAAGATATTGTACTTGCTCTGCATGAGTAGAACATCTCTTTGTTTCCCAAGGTCCTGATAATATTTATTGCAGAATACGGCCTTTGGCCAGTCTTTGTTTTATGTTCTTATGGTCTTTTTGTTTTCGGGGTTTTTGATGTTTCAGCGTTTCCATTTTGGAGGAAGTCTAAAAAATCACATTGCTAATGTCTTTGATTTTCTTGAATAGTGTTATTACCAACTGCTGGTAAATCAGTGTGCAAATTGTAACTCGCTTACCTTTTGTTTTTTCCGATTTCTCCATCTCCGAGTAGCATGCGAAGATGGCGCTGCAACTTGACTGGATTAGTCTACTCCCTGTTGAAATTCTTGTCTATATCCTTTCGTTTTTTGACACTTGAAGATGCTGCCAAGACGAGTGTTTTGTCAAAGCGCTGGATAGATATCTTTGGTTGAATTTAATGTTGCTAGACTCGATTTTGACTCTAAAAAAAATGTGGAAAGGGATGGCAGGGTTGGCTGCCGACCTATGCAACAGTGCTTAATTAAGAGCAATCGTCAAAAGTATGTTGAATGGGTTAACAAAGTGGTACAATCACACAAGGCCGTCTCTTGGGATGTATTTATTAGAATACGCTTTTATCTGATTTCATCTTCCAGAAACGATATCAACAAAATGGCTTCATTATGCGTTTGCTAGGAGAGTACACAAGCTAGAATTGGATTTGTCAGGATATTTGGGAAAAGGTCTTGGAAGTTATGATTTTCCTCATGACCTGCTTGGCTTCAACTCTGATGCAATATCGTCTGGCTTTTAAGTCTCTTAGGACTTTGGCATTAACGCTGCTGTAAATGTTTCTGGGGAAGTTCTTGAATTTTTCTTGCATAACTGCCCTTTTCTTGAGTCTCTGCTGCTAGTGAATGGCTCTAAACATCTGAAAAATTTCAACGTTTGTGACCCATCTCTTGCATTGAATTTGAAACATCTGGAGATAGTGTACTGTGGTGCTTTGTCTTCCTTCACAATTTGCTATGCAAATATTGTTTCCCTTAAAACCACAAATGGTTACGGGCTGGTGCTTAAATAAGAATGTGGCTATGCTTGTGGATGTCATTATTGGTGGATTCATTTGGCGTGTTAATGGAGGTTCTTACCTTATATATCTCTGGCTTATCATTGGAACAGGTTAGTCCCAGCTATCTTCAAGTTTTATTTTGTAATTATCGTGAAGTTAGTGCCAGATTTGATCCCGTCTTACTATGTTATTTTTCTTCATCCTAGGAGAGTGATGCAATTGTGGCAATTCCTCAATTAACCCAATTGAAGCAATTAACTTTCTTTCCACGAATGGACGTTAGCCTGATTTGCATGTACTTCTCTCATAAGGCCATCTCCCAACTGGGAAAAGCTTATCCTGCTCCCTCGTAAATTTGTAATCAGAATGTGATTGTAATCCCAAGTTCACTAAATATGGAAAAAGGAATACTTAGAGAGTGTATCAGACTTACTGTTTGACTAAGATTGGCTATGCTCAGCTAAGTGTTTAGTTTAGTTACAGAAATAAAATTATGCAAAAAATATTTTGTTGTTTTAGGTTAGATATAATTTTTGTCGGATGCCTTTGAATCAGTTGCGACAGTTGTAATCAGCGGGATATCCCGGTATTCTTCCCTGGGTTTATTGGTGTATACCATAGTGGATATATATATATATAGTAAATTACTGTCTATCACTTTTCGATATTATACTTTTATTCAACTTTTTCATAATTTTTCCTGAAAAAAAAAAAAACTTTTCATAGTTTACCATATAAATATGTAAGAAAATAAAATAAATATTGTATCAGATCATAAATTCACATTAATGGCTTGTTTGCTTACAAAACAATGTATTTTACCGTGTGAGAGTTCTTCCACCATCTTAAGTTATTATATCCTATACAATGATAAATAGTATAATAAGGTGATAATTAATTTACTATAATTAATTTACTATTTAATGAGAATTGGAGATATATGTTGTTCCAACAAACATTTTTTTTCTTTTAAATTGTGGTATAAATACGTGGGTTTATTTTCGTGTGTGTGTGTGTGTGTATCATTAACTCATAATATTTCTGGGTTTTTTGCCCTCCAGATTCGTTGGAATTTTGATGCTCCTCTCAAGATGTGCAAACGCAAAGTTTCTAAGAAAGGCATATCGCTTCCCCTTAAAACTCTTAAAAGTTGTTGAAATATTGGGATACAATGGATTTAGATTTAGAAATCGAACTTGTTGAGTATCTAGTTGAAAATGGTACTCCCTCCGTCCCACAATTATTGTCCAGTTTGAATTTTCATTTCTAGTTTAAATTGTAGTAAAAATGAAATATCAAACTGGACAATAATTTTGGGACAGAGGGAGTATTAGCCTAGAGAGGGTAGTCATCAAAACCTTGGGATTTTGTTGATTGCTTTCATATCCGCAATTCTGACAAGGATGCTCTCTATAGAGAACGTGTTAACACTGCCAAGGAACAGCTTTACGGGATTGTTGCCTGAACATGTTGAATTGGTACTTGTTTAGATGGGGGAAGGATCACCTTCTTCTTAATTAAGTTCTGATGTGTATTATTATTATTATCTTGGTTTTTATCATATATCTTGTTACAACCTTTCATCTTATCTATGTTTTGTTAAACAGCAGATTGTCTGTAGAAACTTAGTTACCTTTGATAATGTTAAAGACCATTAATTATGCGTGGTGTCATTTTCTTTATCATTTATACTACTTTAAAATATAGTAAAGTCCTTCACCAATATATACTTTCTTGTGGAGATGGAGTTGATGACTCTAGTAATCTTGAATTACCAAGCTCTATATATAACACAAACATGCTTACATGTAGTTTGTACTCCCTCCATTCTAAAATATATGTCGATGGAAGAGTTTCACAAAATTTAAGGAGACAATAAATATTTGGTTAAAATACTAAACTACCCTCATTTATTCTCAAAATATAATTCTATTTCCAATCATTTAGTTCTAATACATTTCTACTTTAAATACAATTACAATTTCTCATGTACGGGTAATGTTGGAAGAAGTTGACAAAATATTCCTAGATATGCGAAAACGACATTTATCTTGAAAAAAATTAGTTTCCCTCTAACGACCTATATGTTCGAATGGAGGGAGTACTTTTGTTGGATTAACATGGAGATACTAAATGATGTCAATTTTCAAATTTAGGTTTTGATGACATCCGAAAAAAGAAGAGGAAGAATCTAGCTACAAGAAGTAACGAAAATCACATGATCCAATAAAATTTAAGGTTAAAGCACCAATTCAATTTTGGAGACATCATTACATCCATTCTCTCTCAAATTTATTGTTGTTACTACTGAAAAAACTAAGATAACTAGCTGAGCTAGGAGAGAATAACAGAGCCACTGTCTAAGAAGATGAGTTAATTTCATAGTCTTTCATTGTTCAAACTTTTTCCAACATTATTGATGTCTTGGCAAGCCGTGGACAAATAGATTAAGTGCAGCTGGATGATTTGATCAGGATTTTAGATTAGTAACACAAGTGCAATTATTGTCACAATGCTTTGAGCCAACTTCATCCCACCAAAGCTGCTGCTGCTACTGCTGCTGGCTGTGGTTTTCTTCGTGTCGGAACTCGATGAAGCCGATGAGCTAGAAGAAGAAGATGGAGAAGTTGAAGATGTTGATGTTGAGGATGATGCTGGAGTAGCATCAGTAGACGCGGACGGAGTGTTACTTGAACCTGCATTTGCAACTTGGAATATCTTCGCATCGGCCGAATTAGCGGGCAGTTTAAGTATCGCTATGCCCAAAAAATTAAAAAATGTCAGTATAGGGTAACGATATTCATCTCTACAGATATATGGTTAAACCTTATCATTTATCTTCTTACCAGGACAGTCGGAAACCTTGGCATCAATCTTACACAATGTGGGCATTTGGAGAGCCAAAGTGGTGTTGATGGGAAGACCCATTGAGGGATCAGTGCTCTCTTTGATGAGAACACAAAGGCATTTGGGCTTAGCACTTCTCACTTTGATGGTGTCTTGGCAGCATTCTGGAGTGGGCATTTTGGCACTTCCACTCACATAAGGCATGCAAGATGCAAGGTTTCCCAACTGGTCAGCACAATCTTTCTCATCATCTTCAATTGTGGCCATTGCTAATGTGGTCAGACAAATGCAGATGATGCATAATTTGAAGTAATTAGCAATGGCCTTCTTCTCCATTTTCACCATGCTCAGAAGCTAAAACTAGCTCAGCTTTGTAGATAACAAACTATTGTATTTTGTTTGGTGCTTCCTTACCAAAAAGGAGCACTTGGTGTCCCTATTTATATTTACTGGTTAACTTTGGGGTATTTATTGTCCTCCATACCTGTCTTAAATGTTTTTTCAAATGATAAAGTACTCATTTCTCAATTATTGGTGTTTCATGTTGAATTTCAATTAATTCTCTTTCGTGGTTTCAGATCCTCTTTTTATTTTATGAAAATATTAACAATGGGACTTATAAACGACTCGTTGATGTTTCCCATCAATGTATATTATCACGGTATTTTGCTCTTAGGCTTCAGCTCTTTATTCGTTAAAATAATTCGTTCTTCTGAAATTCAATTTTAGAGAAATTCTAATGTTGTTTTTAACCTACAAGTTTTGGTCCTCTTTTTATAAACTCCACAACATTTTCATTTACTCAATTCAGAATCTTGTTTTATCTTCGCATGTCACATTTGTCTCATAATTACTTTCAAAATGATTGAAAAAAAAAAAAAATCGATGAATGAGTTATTTTCACGGAATCTCTGTTTCAGCCAAAAACCAGAAGTTTTTGGTGAACTTCTCAACTTCTCCCATTGTTTAATTTTCTGTTCATATATTGCAAATTCAAGTTTTGTTTTAACTTGGAAGAAAATATTTACAAGTAGCAGATTCACAATTCATTTATTTGTTTAAAAGAAATAGTTTTGTGGTAATCCCAAATTTTGCCAAAAAAAAAAATGGAAGGTTATGATAATTTCCTCCCTAGATCCTTTCAAACAAAAATATTCTTTTCTCTTCACTTTTCACAATTTTACCGTATCCAAATTCGTCGTACGCAATTACTGAATTTATTATATTGAGAGTCAGATCACAGATGGTAGAATTTTAATACCGGCCAAAATATTGTCCACTTTTCACAATTTCAATATGACATTTTTTTTTAAGGTCCTCTTTTAGTTTGGATGAAATCATCACATTCAGACGCATAAGCATCTGTGATTAGTTGAGTCCGATGGATTCCAAAAGCAAGGCAGCTTCAAAATTCAAACAAACAAAGTAGTCCATCCATTCCAAAATAAATGTCATTCTACCTTTTGTACATAGTTTAAAAAACTTTTAAATAGGGTAATAAAATTACTTGAATATCCTCAACCAACCCCATTATAAAATTGTCCACCAATAACATCAACTCTTTTGAGGGTAATTTTAGAAACTTTTGACAAAAAGTGCATTAAAATGTGAAACGACACTTATTTTAAAATTTTTCTATTTTGTTAAAACGGCACTGATTTTGGAATGGAGTGAGTAATAATAAGAACTGGAAAAAACAGAAGAGAACCATAACTTTATTTATGAGCTTACAACCTTTGAGAAATGTGTAAATATTTTCCGTTTTCCAAGAGATCATCCCAAAGCTCTCTTCTAAAATGCCCACTTCCCAAGATGATCACCACACCCTTCTTCTTCATTTCATGACCTCCATCCATCTCTCTCCAGCTCTACCATTAATTTTTTGCATCCCATCTCTTTTCTGTTGTCCTCATTTTATTAAATAGTGTTACAAAAAGTACACAGATTGCTGGTCATGAGGCTTTGCCTTCCTAAAATATTGCGATCACATTATTATTCAAACCAGGTGACTGTAGAAAAGGGCCACGTAAAACTTAACAAAATCACATCGTAATCAAACAGAACTCGATGTTGCACCATATCAAGAACAACCCTTTTTTTAAAAGAAAAAGAAAAACTTGTTTTGAACACCTTTTTCGTTTAATATTATATCATTATATATATTAAAGAAAAAAAAGATAATCGACACATGTCGCTAATTGATACTATCAATCATCACTTTTAACTTATTATTATTTTAGCCCTTAAAGTTCTATCTATGTTCTACTTTGTCTTCAATTTTATCGATTTTACATATTTAAGGACGATTAATTGTGTCTAATCTCCAAAGTCCCCTTGTCTATAAATAAGTCATAAGCATCTAGACATAATTTACGCATTTTTTAATATATTTTTTAATCCAAACATAACATTAGTTAGTGGTGACAATTTTTATTATACAAATTTTTAAAATTTTTGTTATAATATTTTTGGCCAGATCTTACAAATATACATCTCATAAATAATATCAATACCTCTCATTTTGGTCTAAGATTGATTAATCAAAAAAATTTTATGGTTTTAAGAAATATTAATAACTTCATTATCTAATTAATTCTTTTGGAAGATAAATTTTCAACATTGACAAACCCGCGCAAAGCGCGGGACACATACTAGTACAGTTAAAAGTAAAGGAATAATTAAAAAAAAAACAATTACAAATTTCGCTATGAATTCTCCTCCACGCCCTTAGATATCCATAATCATAGAAATTTTTAGTACATCAAGAAAAGTAAAATAAAAGTGATAGGATAAGTCTTTTGTAACTTTAAACCCATCACACTATTACAAAAGGGCGCCTTTTAGAAATAAAGATACAGTTCTACTGTCATATTTGGATTTAGAAGAAAATAAAGAGAAATGTCACAAGAATAGTTTATAATCATTGTTCATACAAGAAATCCCTTTTCCTACGTTTTTGGAAAATAAAATCCCTTTTGCTACTTGAAACGACCCTCGGTTTTACTTCCGAGTTCAGAATCTGAAAACTATAATAATAACGGTCCATTTACAATGAATTGAAAGACTGCAAAACAGGAGAACAGAACAAAATCGCTATACCCGAACTGTTACACAACAGATTCAAGGAAAAAGAAACTCAGCTCTAGAAAAATCCACTCCCTCCCGAAAATGTACAATTCAAGTGCTTACAAAAATAAACAAATGAATAACAATACCTCTCGCCTTTACTTCGCCAAAACATCAACTATATTTTTCCACCTTTCAACTTTCTTTACGATGATGCATCTAGGAATCTATGTAGACAACAGGAGGGAGGGACAGAACAAGAAGAATCAAGAATGTACAGTGCTATACAGAGAATCGCTCGTGAGGGAACTTTTAATGTTCAATCTGAGTCAGGTAGTTCATTTGCACCTGACCGTTTCAACTAGGATCCTGCTTTCCATTTGAATCAGCTCCAACCACAGTAGGAGGTTTTACCTGGCCGGCTGGTGGCGGCGCAGTAAGGGCATAAGTAAGCCTTGATGAGGAATTTTCAATCAAACCAGCAACACCAGCAGCTGCAGATTGCGCATTTGAAGGAAGGAACAGATCATGCCTTTGATCCTTATACGCATCCCAGACCTGCAAACATGTTTTCATCAGATTCATGAATATGAAAAGAAAAAATGAAGAAAAATGTGCAGACTACAGCAAGAGTTGCAACCCGGTACACAGATAACTACGACAGGGAAACATAATTCAAGAAATTCTTGATCGATATTTGAATTCTCAAAATAAAATTGCGGGCTTCCGAACACTATCCAGCCCATCGGTTGAATAAATCTAAGATAGACCAAGAATATTTAGCTTGCTTTTGTCAAATACAACTGTGTGTCTACAAGTGAAATGGCAAAGTTGAAAAGCAAAGAGAATAGGAAGATGCAGGGGTAGGCGAGTAGGGGAAGGAAGAGAGAGAGTGATTGGCATACTCGTATAACTTCAGCCTATATGCTAATTTAAAAGTTCTAATGCAAATGACTCTAATAATAATTTCCTTCAGGAGAAGGCAATAATCCTTCCTGCCACTCACACTTCTCCCACAGGAGAGGGTGGATGGAGTTCACCTTGTCAGCCATTATTGTCTAACTTTTCTCAAACAAATAATTTACTGCTCCCTTTCTACTCTTTGTTTGACAAATCAAGAGGAACTATCCCTTAACTTTTACGATGAACAAACTGTAGATAGAGGTCTTCGAGAGTAGGGAAGACTATGAAGCATTAAAGGGAGAACTGAGAGGCAAAATATTTGTATGCAAGTTTTTAAATTTGAGACTTACACTGGAGGAATTCAGTATCTCTCGCACTTTAACACAGTGAGCCCCTTCTGCTGCAAACGCATGCAGTACCTAGTTAAGAAAAAAAGATTTAGTCATAACTGGCAATCACCAAGCACAAATTACATTTAATTATATAAAGCATAAGATTATGAGAACTATGAAGAACATGATCTCCAAATGACCAAATTGAGTTCAGGATGAGGTGAACATAATTTTAAGTTAGGACCCTGGTCACGAGTTTCAGGATTCCATTCATCTTGAATATCCATACATCAAACATTAATTAACGAAAAGAAAAAAAATTTAAATGAAACCTAAAAATGAAGTCAAGCAAAAGATTGTAGATACTTGCATGTTTCAGTTAAACAAAAAGTAGGGTATGAATTCTAACTAGGTGGGCAGTTACTGCTGAAGGAAGAATTGTGCATCAATGCAAAATTTTCATTCAAAATTTAGCATTAGTCCATGAAATTTCAACATCAGGAACGATCACTGGAATATCGTTAAACCTTTAAGATCAGATATTTGAACCGATACCAAGGACTTTCCAAACAAAAAGATAGGCCGGCTTCCCAAATTCCAGATAGCAAAGCCACTAACATGATCAGAAATATGCACAGAAAAAGATTTGACTACAATCTAAATGTTACTTTACCTCAATAGCAAGCACCCGGCCAATGGATGCTTCTGATTCATTCCACTTCATCTGAGAGCAAATACCATTTTTCCCCCCAGCTCGCCAATCCAGAAGACCAAGAAGTACTTCAACCAGACCAACCCTGTACAGATGTGTAGATCCCATCAGAAAAACATAGATGTAATTATTAAGCACTGTAAGAAGTCATTTGTACAGGTGGTTTGGGAACACAAGAAGGCCAGCACAGGGCAGATATCAGACCAAATACATAAGACATGAACAGAGAAGTGCATAAATATACAGTCCACGCGTCATGAAAAAGAAATGCAGAAGCCACACCCTTTAATCCAATCCTTCTTATTCACTCTAGGGCTCTGTAAACAATGAAATAAAAGCACCGCAAGGAAGTTGTTTAATCATTCTACATAGGCTACGAAGCCCATTCAAGCTCTATATCCATGTCTTCAATTCAGATGATTAGTTTAGCCACATGGTTCAGAATGACATGGTCTGAAGCAGCAGTTGCAGCTTAGCTGTTGCACACTGCTAAGAGTGGTCAGGTTTTCCCAATACGAAGACTATGGGTTTCATTTTTTCCCTCCCTGAGTTCAAATATATATGCTAGTTAGAGATGATTCAATCATTTAATCTTCACTTCAAAGTTCAAACCGCACCAATGGTCAAATCTTCTATCTCATACTCTTCCAAACGATTACTACTCTGAATCCTTTACTGGTTAGGCTTAATTTGACAACAATTTATCAAATGCCAAGGACAACTAAGAAAAACACAAGCCAGAGCAAAACAAGGCACTCACTTCAGTCCTTGCCCAACAAGCGCATCTCTTGCTCGATTGCCAGCACCCACAACACGTTTGAGAGTTTCTAAGGCTAATATGCTCCCTCCTTGCCATCCAATCGCTTTCATCAAAAGCGGGACAACCTGAAAATCAATAGCCAAAGTTAAACCAAGAAAGAAAAGTGAAACAGAAAACATTCATGGAAGACTCTTCAGAATGATGACTGAATATCAAACGAACATAACGATCGACGTAAGCTAATACCTGTGGTGTGCCTACACTAGTAGCTGCCATCGCTTCGGCACATATTGTACTTGCTGCAAGTTGATGTAGGACACGTAAACAACTTAACCGGACTCGTTCTTTGGGTGTTGGAGAAGATGGCTGCATTGAACTATCCTCGGCTTCACTTGACTCACTAGGGTGATTGCCATTTCTAATCTCCACAGAAGCCATTGTTTCCCTTCTTCCCTCATAGGCAACTGCCGATACAAGCTTTGGGACATACCCAAGATAGCCAACATGATCTGCAAGAGCAGGGTGCACCCGTAACAAGGAGACTAATGCAGCAGACAGAAGCAGAGGGAGCTCAGGATCAACAGCATGTTCATCGTAATGAGCAGAACCGATAGATGAAAGATATTGATCAAGCAGTCCTTCCAAAAATCTCTTAGGATTTCTAAGCGGGAATTTCGGGTCCTTCAAGAATAATCTCACGTAGATACCTCCAACCTAAATAAAACAATAGCAACTCAGAGGTCATGAGGAACCTAAAGTTAAGACATACATTTTGTAAATAGCCATATAAATTACCTGAGGTTCGTCTTTCATGTCCTGTTGTCCGGAAGCCTGCTCAGGAACATCCCAATCAACAACCCTTCCTTTCATCTGTTCCTGATACAAGTCTGATGCCATTGTTGCTAGTTGGGCAGACAAAGAAGCAGCCATCGCTGGAGTCCACACAAGTTCTGGAGTCTCAGTTGTTTGATCCAGAGCAGTCACAACTGCTTCACCAGGGCCATCCCGAATGATGGATACAAGGCCATCTGGTAGGAATCGAGCAAGTGTTATCGCCACTCGGGGACCATGCATTGGCTGTGCAATAAGCTTTCCCAATAGTGAAGCAGCTGCTGCTCTTTGCTGCAGAGGTATTTCTTCTGCCCACGTCATTTTAATTTCGTTAAACTCACAGATGTACCACAGGAAGAGTAGAGGAAATTCCAAATAGCGAATTCTTACCTTGTAAAGGCAACAAAAGTTTCAGAATGTACACCACTCCACCATGCTTTGCAGCTGCCCAAGCAAGCTCTGGAGTGCTGGCCAATGCATAAAGAACATGAAGAGCTCCCTCACGACAGCCAGGAGATGCATGAAGCAATTGTAAAAGGAGAAGAAGACTGGAACCATCAGCTACCATGGCTTCCAAGCAGGGAGCATGTGTGGTCAAACGGGAGAGCACACTTAAACAGAGTTGAGGAATATTGCTGTCAGATGGAACAGGCACAGAAAAGCATTCGAAAAGAGGCAACAACTTTTCTTTCGACGCTAATACTGAGGCCACGTTAGGATTGCTTGTCAGCAAGTGCTGGAAACACAGAAACAAAGAACTAAGCATGATGACCAATAATAACTAAAATCAACATAGTATCCAAAAGAGTTTAATAGCGTACCTGTAGAGAGGTCAAACCTAATTGAAGATGCTTAATCAATTCACCCTCCTTGACAGCCATTTTTCCATCAGAAGGGGTGGGTGCAGGTACCGAACCATCAGTAGAATTATTCTCTGCAGATGAACCATCAAAATCACCATCCTGTGACTCAGATGTCTTAGGAGATGAGCCACTAACATAGAACTCTGAACCAGAGCCTGGTAAATCACGCAGTAAACACGAAATGAAGTCAACAAGAGCAACACAGAAGTCCTCAGGTTCACTGACTTCAAAGTCGGGTTGATCGTTGTAGACTCTCAAATATACATTTCCAACAAAGAGTTCCTTCGATAATGCTTCGTATATAAATGAATTGGCATCTTTCAAATCATACGAACCATCAGGGCCATGGTTTTCCCTCTGTTCTTCCACAAATTTTAGTAACTCTCCTCGGATTGAGGAGTTCCAAATAATCTGCAACATCGATCAATTATTATTTTGGTTAACATAGGTCGATTACCAATAGTGAGATATATCAATATTGAGACAAAAACTGTATAATAAATCTCAAGATCACAGTACAAACTCAATATATATGTATATATATATAAAGTGAAAACAGATGTAGCCACATAAACATAGCTCACAATAAGATCTTAAAACAAAGCAACCTCCAAATGTCTAAAGAACAGTTGAATACAACAACTTTAAAAAACAGATGACAACAAAGGTAAGCCAGCACAAAGGCAAAACAATATCAGCAAGATGCACCAAATTTACCTCCGGAGACTCCAAGTTGGAGTTTAATTTTGATAGCAACTCTTTTGCCAAATGATCTTTCAGCATGCTAGAAAGTTTAGGTGTCAACAAGGCTTTTAGGGCCCCAGAAGCACCCGGATTATAAGGTGTTGTATTTTCCTCAGTATTCGTACCGCTAAGTCTTGAGAGCGCTTGAGATGCACGAATAGCATGAGTATTTTTGGCAATTTGAACACTTGCTCCAACACCATGTGTTTCTGTCATGCCTGATTCCCCAGCAGTTGAATCATACTGGAGCAGTAAAGGGAGTAGGTACCTAATGTAATGAAGTGGTAAAATGAGATAAATACAAAGTTAAATGTCATGGTGCATCTAGACTAGACATAAATTTAACAGGCAAAGGAAAAATCAAACCAATGCAGCAGTTTGAGAGCAGTAAATGAAACAAAAAAGTAAGAGGCAAAAGAATTCCAACATCCAGTACGTTCACATGCAAACATTAGCCTCCCATAGTGGACATAATTCTGCATCTCCCTTTCCTATAATGTGAAAAAATACGATTGAGATGTTATTCTCGTGTATCTTCCTCATCATTAAGATATGCATCTTTTCCCTTCACATATCCACTGCATAATTCTACTTTTTACTTCTACAAAAGTAGGAAACAAAGCCAAAACATTTCTGGGGTGGTGTAACTAATTATGGTGGCCCTAAGAAATATAGGCCAAGTCGATCAATTCCACGAAAAAACATTTTCCTAACAGATTGGACCAAGTCAATCAATTCCATGAAAAGACATTTTCCTAACAGGTTATAGACCACGTCAATCAATTCCATGAAAATTCATTTTCCTAACAGGTTTCAGTTTTTTACATATTTTTGACAGGATAAAAGTTACATAAACAGAATTACCATATTACTCCAGCCTTCAGTAAGGCATCTTGTAATTCAGAGGAGACAGAAAGATGAGCAATGGTCTGAAGGGAAGCATCAACGGCAGAAGGTACAAGCTCGAGTTCTGTACAATGAACTATATCTTCAACAAGCCCAGAAATTTCAAGTATCTCAACTCTGGCACTTTCAAAACGACTAAGAATGGAAAAGGTCCGCATAACATTAGTAACAATGACAGTGGAGGGTTCGCTTGCAGGAGTTGTGGGTTGAACCACACACATGCACCGGGATAGAAGAGTTGCAATAAGTTGTATTCCACCATCCCTCACAAGCTCTTCGCCATTCAGTGATGAAGACGCACACCTAATAATAGGAAACCGCAAAACATAAAGAAGTTTAAACCATCATTTTTAGAAGATAAAGGATTGGAATATATAATACAAGCAAGAACATCACTGACGTTAGCCAAACAAGCTCTGAGGCTGCAACCAGAAGAGGTGCTCTATCAGATGAAAGAAAGTTGTTGTCATCCTTGTCCACAGTCACCGCATTTAATAACATGGGATATCCAGCATACTTAAACGGCTCCAACACATCACCATAGCGTCTATATAAGATGCATTGTCCCCTCAGCAGCAACAGCAACCTCCATGTTTGAGGACCTTGCAGTCCTTGCATTGTAGCCTTAAAACATCCCGTGAAATTAGGTCAAAGAACAACAATGGAACATATAGATATTGCAAAAGTATGTTTTGAGGATGGACTGAATGGCATTTAAACACTACAAAATTTTAGGTCCAATAACAATAATTACAACAAAGTAGAAAAGAACCACAATGACATGGAGACCAGTGATAAAACCACTACAGCAGAAAAGCTCTTAAATCTGGGGCATCACACAAATTTAGAACGATCAATCCTTCCTGAGTATCTTATAGCACAAAATCTGAACCTAAATGAAAACGCCATGATTTTCTCAAGGTTCATTCCAACTAGTCTATTTTGGCATAGTTTTGAAACCCATCAAGAATCATTTCTAGCTCCACTTCAACAAGTTAATAAGAAAAATAACCAACGAAAATTAAATCAATCAACAACACACTCTTGTACCAAAACTGGAGCAAAAAAGCCATAGCTAATTTATCTGAGAGAACAGAGTATTAAATATGACCCAGCACTTCCAAACACACAAAGCATCAGGCAGAAACGAGACAAGAAGCACAAGACTCCAAGGTACAAACAACCCTACATGCCTTACAGTTCTGCGACATAAACTTTTTAACAGTATTGAAAATATTCTTAACTAACAAGCCAGCATACCTGCAATCGTTCATAAGCTTTCTGAACAGCAAGAAACTTCTCCCTCCCTTCAGGATTTTTATCTGGATGGTATTTCATTGCAAGTTTCCTATACTGCCGCTTAAGCTTCTCCTCGTCTATATTTTCAATCTGCTTTGATAAATTTGGAATCTCATCAGATATCTCAAGAGTTTGACCTTTTGGGGCATCATCTCTAGACACATCCTCTAAACTTATCTCTAATATTTTACAAGCTTCTTCTTCAGAGAGATCCATGGGTCTCCTAGTCAACTCTTCCCGCCACATCACCAACAGTGATTGCAAGAACTCAACATGTTCGACGATGGGCCAGTTTGGAAACCTGATCTCATCACAGAGATTCCGCAGATAATATCGATGACACCACATTTCATCTTTCAGCTCTGGATATGTAACTGGTGGCATGGGAGCGTAATCATATAAAGAATGGCAATGCTGGGACAACTTCTGAGGAAAATCTCCAAGATGCTGCAGAACCTGAACAAGAAAACCAAATCAATCTTGTTGAATAACAGTGTCAAGATAATAATCAGACAATAAAAGCAGAACGGAGCATTTGCAACTATCCATTCACTTTGATGATAGAGTAAAACTACAAGATATATGGAAAAAAAGAGACAGCACAACCAACATCTTTAACGCACCTGGCAAATCAGATTTTCTGCTCTCATCTTGTGCGTCCATATGATCTCAGGAGTGTCAGAATCAGAAACCATTGCTGCAGCAAATGCAGCTGGGCCACTGCGTTCCAGTACATAGAGCAATGACTCAGGTAAGAGTCCACCCAAGACACTACGTTTAGCCAAAGGCAAAGAAGAGGACACTGCAGCCTCTTCACCCCCATGAAAAGCTTGATGAACATGCGTCACTGAGAAGAGCTCTGCAATTGAAAGCAGATTCGAACCAGGGTAAGCCAGTGCAAAATAAAATGCACCAGTGCTGTATAATTTTATCATTGCTTTCGGGTTCCGGGTAACGACAGCCTTCATCAAAGCAGCAGAGCCCTCAACAATGGTCGGTTCACCAGAAAGCATAGCCTACAACCACGGCATGGGAAGTGGAATAAAATGTGAGATTTTTCTTAGCTAACTGCAGCAGGATGAAAAGCGACAGGCAACAGATAAAAGAAAAGAGGTTGAGAGGGACTTATCATGTTTGGCAACAAAAAATTAGCAAGACAAACATTTCTTGTCACTATCAGAGTAGACCATCAGTATTTCAAGTCTGAATCAAAAGATGTAGATTCCAAGCCTTTCCAGTAAACTACTCCTCCCAACATTTAAGACAAGGAACTGAGATAAGGCTTCCTTATCTACACACATTGCTATCATAACTATGTTCCAACTTCAATACCAAAAACAAGCGCCTTAAGCCAGTTAAAACTGCAAATTGCTAGCATCTTTTAGCACTTAATATTTGAGAGGAATTTTGAAAGAGCCATCTCTCGAGGTCTAAGCATTCAAGAACTCATTGACACCAGATCCATACCAAGACAACGTATGAGTTTTTGAGCATTTACAACCATTCCGAAAGAAATGCCATGTGAACCATTCTATTGAACAGTTCTGCAAACAATGACCCAGTATGCCTAAAAGTCCCCCGGTGCTTTTGTAAATGGTACCAAACAACCAACAGGTTACCTACTGCATTTTGTAAGTTAATATTAACCAAGCGAGCCCCAGATAATAATTTTAATTTTCTCAGGATCCACACTGTTTTTATATAGTACAATAATATCAGAGAGAGTTAATCTTTACTCAGAATTTCAGAAGAAATCTGAGACTCTTCATTCCAGACAGATAAAAGGGTGTCAGCAAATTTTCCACAACAAATGACCGTCAGAAGATGTAAATTGCTCATCCACTACCTAATAAGTAGGACCAGATGCACTTATTCAAATTCATTACCCCAGACCTTGATACGATAACACCAGCAAGTATTATCCCTGAGATAAATCTCCAGTTAGCACACACTCACTTTGCGTAAACACCCGAAAAAATCCAATACTGCAAGAAAGTGCCCTCTTAAGATACAAAAGATTTCACCTTTGGGATATGCTAATGTTAATGTGAGGGATTGGAGGATCCGCTTGGCAGGCCCGGGTGGGCGGTTGTTACGGTAAGCATCAAGTCATGCGCCAAATATAGTAGGAAGAAATCAAAAATCTTCAGCAAATACCATACTTTCATACATGAGACAGCCATACAGCACAGCTATAGAATTACGATGGCTGATCAGAGAGCTTTAGTTCAATTAAAAGCATTAAGATATAGGACATCTTCAAATACCTGTGCAATATGTGGAAGGCATCGTGGACTCGATAAGATCCTTTTTACTCTCGGTGTTGGTGTAACGATTTCCCCAGCATCATCAATATCTGAATGTGCAGCTACCATGCTGTGCAATATGGACAATGCAGAATCTCCCACCTACATTCAATAGTCCTCTACTTAAATATCACATAGGTAATGTACACACTAATTAACACAGATTCATTATTTCAGCAGTATAGCACATTGTAAAAGATCAGTCATCCATGACAGCCACTAGTATTTCCTTGCTGAAAATAGCATCCCTAAATTCAGTAATTATTTTCCAACATTTACACAAGACAAAAACACCAAAATTTCCAGAGCTGAAAAAAAAAAATAAAGAGATGATAATGGCAGTAACACAGGCATCGAGCGAATTAAAAAAATGCTGGATTTGAAGGAGAACCAAATCCAGCAAATAAAATAATCACGTTTTACATGACATCGTTAAAATCACTTAGTTTAGTCGAGATAAAAAATGAACCGCAAGAAATTTGCAGAAGATGTAGATCCTAGTCCATACCAAGTGACATCAGAATTTCAAATTACCTGGGTTGGAGTGAGAACGGGAACACGGACAGCTAGTGCCCATCGAAGTTCTCGAATGTCCCTCAATCTCTTCCAGTCAGGCATCCCAGAAGCCCAACAGCGTGTAGTCCAGTCAATTTCTTTCTTTGACCAAAATCTTCTGATAGCATCTTTCTCCACAGGTCCACTTTCTGCACCATCCTTGTCGATAAATAACCACTCCTTCAAAGGTTCCATGAAAGCAGTAGCCGCAATCAAATTTGATTGTAAAGGTATAGTAGTTCTCTCCGAGGCCTCGTGCACGACTGTAAGTAAATCAACAGCAAGGACACAACCTCCGACCAAGACGCATGCCTCTATGTTTGATAAAACCTTCATCAACACCTGAACAAGCAAAAAGATTAACTAAAACATGGAACAAACACTGTCAAGGTACCAAGACTTTACTTTGGACATAGGTTGTGATAGTCTCCTATTCCGAAACACACTATCTTCTAGAGGCACAACCAACAACTAGTGTTCTAATTAAGACACATATGAAAGGTCAAGGAACAGATAGAGTTGAATCAAGTTGGGGCAGTTCCAACAAGATGCCAAATTTTCATGATTGAAGTAACCTAGCTGGAATGACGATAAGCTTCATGGAACTGTATCTCAAATTACAAATCACAAAGAAAGAAGGACCACAGTGTTGATAACAAAGTCCGAGTACGACACAGCCCAGTGTCCTCATTCAAATAAACCTAAACTTGAACATTTGCATAAATCTAGGTCTACAGACTTTGAAATCACCATCTAGACATTGCACATGACAGCAAACCGCTATGCATAAGTTCTATGCTTCCTCATTATGAGCTCCATAACCACTACCAACATGGGAACAAAGGAAATTTCCCACAAAGCAATGCCGAAGGAAGAAACTGTTACATACCTTCAAAAGAAGAAGCAGACGGTGCCTCAATGCTCTATCATCAGTTCTATCCAAGAGTACAGTTATGTGTGCTGTTCCTTCAAATGGACCCACGGTGTTGTAATGTTGCTCATACACAATTGCCATTGCCCGGGCACAAAGTTCCCTCACTGAAAAACCACCACCACCACCAAAACCATCTAACCTTCCCATATCACACCAATCATCAGAAGATCCCAACTCATCAGGAACAGCACCATTTACAGTTAGCCCAGTGTCAGCATCACATAAGAACCGATGGTATAGAGCTCTAAAGAAAGCAACAGGATCACGCAATGGGAAGTCTTGCGCCCTCCCACTGCTGCCACTCTCAAGCAGCAGCCTAAGGTAATATTGACCCACACAGACTTCTTTTGACAAGCTGGGATACCTAACAAAAAACTCAGTGTAGTTCCATGAGATCTGAGGTACACCAACTTGCCCAGTAATGATGTCCAATGTTCCACCTCCAGGAACAATGTCTTCAGTGCGCTCTTTCTCAACATCGAGTCGATGAACTTCAGCCTGCAAAGCCTCTCGGAGCTCCTGCCTGGTGCGCTCATTCCAGATCAAATCAGCACGATTGTGATCTAGACTAAAAGCTCGCCAAAATTCAGGCCAATTCAGTAACAATCGGCCACATCCAACAGATGCATTCTCAACAACTACCTGAGCAGGTGCAGGTAAGCCAGCAGTTTGATTACCAGATTGGTTGGCATCTGGATCAACTGAACCCACAGCATTGGATTCACTAATCTCATGTGTATTTACTGGAGTATAAGAATCAGTAGATGCTGGCTGATCACTCTGCGTGACAGCTGAACTGTTAAACTCACTAATAAAGTTCTCTCCAGTATTAACTGCAGAAGTTGAACTAGTTGCCACATATCCCGGCCTCATATCGGAAGAAACTTTGTAACCTTCTGCTGCCCCAGGGCTTGACTGATTTGCCTGATCAATGCCATCCGAGTTGGTGGTAGAAGGCAATAAGGGTCCCTGAGATGACATCCCTCTGCCAGGACGATTCCTTCTCTGCTGGAGTAAGCGCCTCTGTCTCCTACTAAGCAAATGTCCTTCAGTATTGAGCATGTCTTCTGCTGAAGATCCATCAGGTCTGGTATGCAAATAAGCAACAAGCCCTGGAGGAAGAACTCTAGACAAAAGATCAAGAGCTGGTTGATAAGAATCTGCCCAAAGAGCCACGAGTTGCCGACTAATCTCACGCCGTTCACCAGCAGGAAGGTAAAACGCATGCAATAAATGCCTCAAGAGCGCACCATCACGTAATGCAGCATCACGCATAGATTCGGCAGCAACAGCATCTTCTTCAGCAATTGTACGCATAATGACTGCTACCGTTTCCCTTACACTTTCTGCAGGATGACCAAACAATGCAAACAATCGGCGTCGCAACCCGGCAACAAGACGTAATAGATCTACAAACACTGTATATTGGGTTGTTTCACCATGTGGGTCAGCTATCATGGCCTCAAGAACCTCAACAATTGACATTGACAGCAATGGAGATACAGACATAGGCTTTAACCTATTAACTAGGATTATGAGACTGCTCTGGTTAGCGAACAGCACAGATTTTGCATGCATGAATGTTGCATGCCTTTCTCCTTTGGTATCACTCAAAATATTTGTATCCCCAGGGCCACCACCCATAAGCACAGCAATCAGACCAGCTGTTTCAGCAGCCACCCCCTCAGAACCATTTCTAAGTAATCCCATTATTCTTCCTACAGCAGCAGGAAAAGTCATCACATGAGATGCAGCACTCCTTGAGGCAAGCAACCTCCTCAAACACGCAATAAAACCCATCACAGTGGCAGCAGCTTTAGGAGAAGGTGGTGGTAAGGGAGGTGATTCTGGAGGAAGATTAGGAGCTGCTGGGAGCATAGTAATCAAGGCCATCAGAGTCACCTCAGGTACTTCAATATTGATAGGTACTCCACTGTATGAAATACATGCATTAAATTCCCTGATTCTACGCCACAGTTTAGCTCTTGACCCAGGGATCGAACCTCCCTCACCTACAGCATCCTTGGCAGCTGCAGCTAAGTGTTTCAAGTGCATGGTTGCATTTTCCATGTCAGCAGCAAAACGCTGTTGGGTAGCAGGGACTTGGTGAATTTGCAAATATACTCTTCCACAAGGAGGATCAATCCGATGACCAGGCATTGTAAGCCTTGGTAATATAGGCACCGGGCACTGACCCTGCAAAAAAGAAATTTCAGTATAACAAAGTCATCCAGATTTTACAACACATGCATATATAGACATCAATCATCAGAAAAATAGACGAATATTGCAGCCACTCAACCATGCCTAACTGCAGAGGTTATTTAATATTTACACAAAAATAACCAAAAAGAGAACCCTTCTACCTACTTCTGTTTGTATAACATCCCTAACAGCTGCAAGCAAGCTATCGCGTGAAGTACTGGCATACACCTGAAAAGAAGAACACAAAATTACGAATTAAAACTTCAAAACAACCTGAATAGAATCCTATGAAGTAAGAAATCCTCACATGGATGGGGCACCCATCATTGAATTCAATGGCAAACATCTGGGGCTCCTCAGCAAATCGAACAAGAGCACTAACAGCAGATAAGGGACGAACTATAACAGCCTGTTTGCAATGACCATAAATATGAAAGGATCAATCATGGTTCACGGAGGATCAAGAGAATGTCATCATTGCACTGAATTTCAAGAAAAGCGCATCTATTACACAAAATCATAAAACAACAGTACAGTGTACTCAGGACTTGGACCAGCACAATATTCATTAAAAATTATCTGTGAAAAAATGTACATTACTTTTTCAGAGTCTGAAAAATTCAATCAAGTGCATGAGCCACTCTGCACGTTCATATCACCTCCCAAACTAAAGCTGATACCTAAATGATCGTTCTATATTTCCAATATTTGTATAGTTTAAAGGGATTAACATAAAGGAATGCATATCCAAGCAGGATATAATATATCCAACTTCAAAAGTCAAGGAAATCACTTCAGGTTCCAGAAACCTTTTTGATCAATAGAAAATCGTCGAAACCAGCACACTAGAAGCACAACAAAATGAAGGCTAAACATAGCTTTGTAAGAAGGACATGATCAATTATCATTTCAGTAAATAGAAAATCCATAAGCTTGTTATTTATCCAGTAATGTCTCTCCATGCAAAATCCAGTGTCCTTGGAGAATAACCCAGTCAGTTCCAATCAATCATACGAGGTCAATATAAGTGACAATCAGGTTACAGAATAAAGTGGTTAAGCAAGCTAAGCAAACGAAAGGGCAAATACATTCCGTGAAATCTTTCTCAAGCCATATAAATACAAAATATTTACATTTTCTTACCTCATAATTTTCCGGGCGCCTCTCAACAATTGAAGCCCTAGTAAGAATTAGTTGACGTGATACGGCATCACCATTTTCACCGAGTCCACCTTTAGGCCCAATCCCCAAACTCAAACCTGGAAAGTTTAGAGTTCCATGAGCAGCAGACCGTAATCTTGTAACGGACCAACCACCGCATGGGGTTTCTTCAGCACCAACAGCTTCTTTCGCTGATAGACCAAATATAACATTAGTTTGGTTGCAACTAAGTCAGCTAAAAAATAAGTTTGGCTGATTAATTTCTAAAATGATTTCTTTAGTACCCCTAAGCTTGATATACTCTGAGACTGTAAGAGGCTGAGTACTGTCAACAGTTAACCACACACCAACCATTGTTTTGGCAGTTTTAGTCTGCATGCAAAACGACCACATCAGCACAGATTTTTAACATCCATCGCCAAAATAGAAATGTCAATGATAAAAACGACAGCACGAGAAGCTAAATGCGATATAGAAATAATTAAACTGGAAGATCGAACTCAAGTGAATCCAATAGTGCAATTAATGTACAAGACAATACAAAACCATCATACCAATGCCGAAATTATGGCAGCACTAGAAGTCCCTGAAGCACCCAAGAAAGCTTTGGATTTCCTTCCATATAAAGGGCACAGAACAAAACTCCCCTGATCAACATTTCTCTTCCCATAAGCATCTGACAGAAGAATAATGGCTGGAGAATCCATGTCTCTGAAGTCCAAGCACCACCGAAGATCTCCAGATTTTAGATCAATAAGTTCAACTCCGACGTAGGTGACCTTTAGTTTCTGTACAAAGTGATTCAAGCATAAGAGAATGTATCCACAAGCTCAGAATATGAATAATTCTCATCAAAGCAGAATAACCAAACAATGACAAAGAAGGCAGATAAGGAGAAAAGTTCTTCCCGAAACTTCTACTCATAAGAAATATATAAAACACACACATAAATCTCTGCCAGTAACCTTCAAAACAGAAACGAAAAATTAAAGGGGCCAAAGCCACATTTGAAAATTCCAAGACATTTTAGAAAAGAGCCAGAAAAATACAAACAGAATCATCCTTTCAAAAGTTTCTTCACTCAGCATCAACATTATTAGTCCCTTAAAAAAATCCAGCAAACATTTTTTCACTGTTGCATGTCAATGATCCTTGTGGCATTTTTTCCTTCTTTAGGGAACTCTTTCTGGTGTGCCTCGATTTTTCAATCATGATGATATTACAGCTTACCAGCTACTTCAATCTATCTAAGACTTTTCCAGACTTTTCAATAATAATAAATACCAACACATTGACCAAAGAATGGTTATCAAACAAAACTGTTAAACTAGAGCAAAAAACTACTCCAACTAAAATATAAGAAGAAAGAAATGAAGCTTACAAAAGGAACCCACTCCGATGTTCTTCTCCGAAGATGCAACACTGAGAACTCGGCAACTGATCCAAGCCTGTTCCACCTAATTCTATGCAACTCAGTTAATATACTAGCTCTATACTTACAAGAAAACTTAATAGACTTGAATTTTCCCTTGCCATCAGTCCTCACACTAATATTAAACTCATTCGACGTCTCGTCTCTCCCAAGAATGGGTGACGCTCCCTCGTAATCATTGCCCACATCATACGAATTGGTGACATTTAATGTGCCCGGATCCAAGGTCACTATATGATGGTTCGAAATGCACAATATTCTCTTGTATCGCCCCCGCCACGAGTGTTTGACGACCATGTACCGCGCCAAGTACTCGGGCTCCTCGGGAGCTTGAGGAGGTGGCTGAGTAGTAACGGAGGTGGAGGTTGGAGCAGTATTGTGTTGTGATTGCTGGTATTGGAGGTGATCAGCAGCGGAGGAGGAGGAGGAGGAAGAACCAGCATGGCGGCTGACGAAGTCCATCTGAGGAAGGTACTGCAAAGAATACGGTTGCGGTGGTCTAGGCCGAAGGAAGAACCATAGTGGTGAACTACCGGCCGGCGACGGCGGTGTCGGCCGTGACTGATTCGCACCCAGCGCTCCCAAATTCGGTTCCGCCTAAACGAAACTAAATTGAGAATCCCGATGTCAAGAACCTTCAATTGGAAAAACCCTAGCTACCAAAACCCAATCTCTCATCAGCGATAGTTCCGGCAGATATACTCCGAAAACAAAACCAAAAACAAAATAAAATCAAACAAACAAACTCCTTCTATAATTCAACTATCAATCCAATTTAACCTAATTCGTAGCTCCAAAAAAGTCGAGAAGTTCAGAAAAATTGCTTCTCCCACTGCATCAAACTGATATTGCAATCACGAACGATTTCGTTGATGATCAGTCTGATGATGATAGAGAAATATTTGACAATTCGATTAATCAAACGCTAAGATTGTGACATTCTGGGAGTTACTCATCATCAGTATCAAATATTTTCGTGGGAAGAACATGACAAAAAAATTGTGATGATTGATGATGGATGATGATCGATCTCAATGAATTTGATGTGTTGAGAGGTAAAAGTACGCAAACGGAGTTTTACTGAAACAAAATAAAAGAAAAGAAAGAAAGAAGAATGAGGTTTGGGATTTTGTGTATTTTTAAGACTGGTTTCGTCATGGCCAGCTTGGAAAACCCATCAAAGAGTTATTAATTCGCCAGCAAAAATGCTTCTTTTTTTATTTTCCCTTTTACGGAATAATTACGGAAATATTGATATGTTTGTTTCGTTTTTTTTAGTGTGTGTTTTTAGGTATTTTTTGTATTAAAAATGTAAAAAATGTATTGAATACGGAATAATTACCGAAATATTAATATGTTTGTTTGGTTTTTTAAGTGTTTGTTTTTAGGTGTTTTTTGTATTAGAAATGTAAAAAAAGTGTATTGAAAATATAAAAAGGTATGCTGAGATAAAACAGTTATTAATAAAATAAACTGAAAAAAAAAACTATTAAAAAAAAATCAAACAAAAAGAGAGTCTATCTCTTAGATTTTTTTTTTATTACTACAAAATGTGACAGCAATCTATCAATTGAACGTTTGTGTACCGTTACTTTGCAAGCGTGGTAAAAAAATATATATATATATATATCAACTAAAAGAAAATATGATAAGTATAAGTATACTATAATGAACTTCTAATCCTACATGCAAGTCGAGTAATTAAAGTACTGGTTAGAATAATTTTGGGAAAATTTACGTTAAGGGCATTGAAAGATTAGTAATTATTTAAAAGGGCATGGATATATTAACTCATTAACGTCAATTTTAAATTGCTTTTAGGATTTTTCTTTATCTGAAAATTACTACTTTATCCTTTTCTTCTCAACCCCCAACAAATGCTTTTCTTTTTAGGATTCATTCGAGTAAAGCTTCCTGCAAATTTTCTTTTCTTTTCATAATACATCTGGGTTCATAATTAATAAAGTGGTCTACTTAATTGTTATCTCCAAAATTGAGGCACCTTCCAAGCTACATCAAGCTTAAGCATTGACTCTCTCTTTACATTGGGCAAAGACAAATTCTCTTTACAAGTTTTCTCCTTCTATTAGCAACACTTCAATTGAAGATTAGGCTAGAGTAGACGGATTGTTGGATTGGGTCGTTGTTGGTGGAAGTCATTGGGATAAAATTAATTTTTGGTCATGTGCTTCTTGCAAGTTTAAGAATGATTGAAGAATAATTAGAGAAATGAAATAAACATTTCAAAGAAAAGGTTGCAAACTTTGACGTTAATAGTGAAATTGATTGAGATAATAAGAAGTTTGATTAAAATATAAGATCAGATTTCCAGTTTGTGATAGTATTTAGTTTTTTTTTTTTTTTTGAAATTGCAGAATTCATCAGTGGGTCATGGAAAAGGAAGAGGGACTCTTTGGTCTTTTGTTAATTGAAAAAAAATAAAAACAATCAATAATAGATAAATATAATCCATGCCCTTCATAATAATTATGATCTTTCCAGTACCCTTATTTAGAGCACATTTTCACACTCTATGCAGCATACCAAAATGATATCATTTTTGTTTGGAAATAATTGTCTAATTTGCGATTTCATTCTTCATATAAATTATAAGAAAAATAAAAATCTAAATTGAACAATTATATTAAAACAAAAAAATAATATTAATAATACTTCAAACATATAAAACGAGTTTGTTATTATATAGAGATATCATATAATGTAAAAGTTAATTTAAAAAAAAAAAACCGATGTGGTTAGCGTCTTAGCGATGCGGAAATATTAGTTTTAAAACCAAAAATGTTTATTGGTAGTTTAACATTTCAGTTGAAGTGGAAACTAGGGAAAAAAAAAAAAAGTTTTCAATATAAGCTATCTTCTCTTTTTTTTTTTTGGTCAAAACTCTTTTATTTTTTTTATTATTTTAATTTTTCAATTTCTAAACAACAATAGATCCTCGAACAAATTGAATTTACACCTTGATTAAAACAATGAAGCATTATTAATTAATTCATAACTTAATACTTCAAATACAGAAATCTCAAAACTCAATGTGGAGTAGTTCGTACAATTTATTTGATTTTTCATGACTTCATAAAAAATAATTTAGCAACTGTATTAGTTAAAAATAAATCAAAACACAAGTGGAATGAAGTCACTGCCACGATGACAATATTGCGACAATAAAATTGATTTTAAAAATAAGTACAAACTAAAGCAATTATTATTCACAATCAAACTTAAAGAGTAATACAGCTAGAGAAATCTGTAAGTGAAGGGCCTTGACATTATCAGTTTTTACTGACATTTATTTCGTTCATTCATGATCAACGTCATTCAGACTTCCTTGAGGTGCAAAAGATCGGTGAAACGGCGGGACGCCGATTCCGGCAAGCAGATGCACAAAAGCATCGACCCATCGGAAACAGCATCAGAACCTCCAGCTGGTAAGAAAATGCAGATTTGGGGAGTAGGAGTCAGGTCAATTGGGCCAGCATAAATGGGCATCCCCCATCCAAAATCCGCGGACTCATAAATCGAAAACCTGGTCCATTGGGTTATTGACAATTTACCACCAAACTCTAACCTCTTGGGCCTCTCAAGCTCAACATAGTCAATAGTGGACCGCAGAACATCTTCCGAAACAGCTAGCCGGGCTTTACGAACAAGGTCAACGGTGTCCTGAAATGATCCATTAACAAGCCCGGACACCGTGTTCGTCACGCAAGCGACACATAGTGCATTGCCGTAAAATCCGTCTTTAAGTGGCGGATCATTCAGCTTCTGCCGGACGTTGACCGAAAATGTCAGCCGGAGCTCGTAATCGAGTGGCTTCACGTCCAATGACTTCACGAATGATCTCCAGACATGGGCCGCCATCGCGTCAAACGTGGTACATGGGCCGACAGATTGGGCCAAACTTTTCAAATGATTCTGATATTCCCGAGTGATCCGGTAACATTTCTGTAATGGCTTGGCCTCCCAGAGACTCTTGGTGAGTGTTGATCCATCATGAATTTCCTTGAACTCAACATGTGGATATTCAACTCTGGGTGGATTACGGGGCCGGAAAAACTCTCGGTCCCAACAGGGTTTTGGGTTTGTAACTAGAAAGCCTGCTTTTGCAGTGGAAGCCCATGACCGCAAGAATTGCATAGCTCCAAGCCCATCACAGATACAGTGACATATTCTTAACCCAAGGCTGAAGCCACCACAGCTGAAATGAGTGAGTTGAGCTATAATCAATGGCATGTTGATAACTTGGTACTGATCTTCATCGGGGAACTTGTAAATCAATGCCGACCATGCCGGATTCGGCACCGTCACGTCTCCGAGATCGGCAATGGAAGTATCCGTGTGAGCTTCAACCAGAAGGGCACCTTGATCCGGGCCAAAGAAAACTTCCAACTTGCCATTTTTGGCCTCCCTGATCCTTCCGGAGAAGGGATAATAAGGCACTAAAACGCTTGCAAGAGCGTCTCTAAGAACGGAGACGAATGAATTTTGTCCAGGGAACGGACCAGGTGAACGGTAAAAGAAAACAGTGGGAGTAAAAACGCGTACTCCGATCATGTCATCGAGGTTGGAGAGGTACAGGACATCGCCATTGGCTGCTGGAATGGGACTAGCAGGGTGCACTGGAATGAGCCGGTCCACCTTGATCGGAATCTCGAGAGGAGGAAAATGAAGCTCTTGAACTCCAGGAGCCATTATAGAGGAAATGGATATTATAACAGGTTTTTGTGGCAAGGAATGTGTGAAAGACTTGTTTCATCTTCGACAGAAGGAATCAGAGATATAAAGAAGTAAGCACGCGAAAAGAAAGAAAAATTGGCAAGATGTGCAACTATATAGGCGGGGTTATTCACGTATGGAGTTGGTGTAAAGCAGTTAGCATCGATGTTTTTCGTGATTGAAATCAGCAAGAGAATAAAATATACTTGAATTGAATAATCTTTCTGGCTAGATTTGCTTGCGTGTATCAGTAGAAAGTGGGTGATGCACGATTTAAACACAGATTTTGTACATCCTGAAACTTAGCCCGCAGGAAAATGCAGAGCATGTTGGCCCGAGAGCTAGCTAAGATTCAGCAAATTTTAGGGACTGGGCAGTTTGTGGAGAAAGAATGGGTTTGGTGAAGATGAAGACTCATGGAAATCTCACAAGAACAGTTGGTTTTCAACAAGTGAGAAGCAAAAGAAAACGGGGAAGTTAGAAAGCAAGAATTGCTGCTGAAAGTACGGTAAAAGATTTTGCGTGCCCTCAGATCGGTTGGTTGGGTGTCTGGAAGAGTGAAACTGTAAGTCCTAAAATAGCAGGAAAGGTGAGAAAACTATATGTTCGACCACAACAAGAAGACTTTTAGATGGTTTTAAGCAAAACCACCTTAATGAAATGTTATGGCTCCAGGGGGTGTTTGATAAGAGTTTGAAAGAGGAAGATGAGGTTTACCAAAATTAGACCAAGAATCGGAACTATGCCAATTTTATATTGTACCGAATACTTAGTCACAAATCACAATGACATCTGCCATACAAATTCATGGACTGGATCCCTTCATTAAGTAGCTAAGCTGTAGCCTGTAATTCTGGAGCAGACCCAGGCACCACCAGTTCATCATTATGATATGGCAAAAGCAGAGGTCCAACTTTCAACTGTAAACTTCCATAATAATCACACAAAATTTATCCCATACGGAGTATGTTGTAAACTAAGAAGGGAATAAAAAAACCTAATTTTGTCATCCATCAATAATTTTCCCTCAACCAAACAAAAAAGGTAACGTCTCGAGAGTCACTTAAAAATGAAAATATTCTAGGGTTTATCGTACTTTTGAGAAGGAACAAGAAAATACATATCCATTTTACTCAAAAAGGCTTTACCGCTGAGGATGCTGGTTGTAGTGATTCTTCTCCTTTTTCTTTGCTGCAGCTAGCCTTGCACTCCTTGCAGCAGCTTCACTAGCTGCAGCTCTGGCAGCTGCATCCATCTCCTTGCTTGACTTTTTCTTCTTAATAGATGCCATCTTCTTTAACTTCTCTTTGACATCAACAGAAGTTACGTCATCAGCCTCCTCAGTGGCGATGTTCTCATCATTTCCACTTCCGACCTCAGCACCGCTTGTCAAATCCTGTTCTTTCGATTCCTTTGACGATTTATCCTTCTTCTTCTTCTTCTTTGCACTTTTACTCTCACCTGGAGCATTGCTCTCCTTTTTACTCACATCCTCATCAGGATTCTCTTTCTTGCCTAGGGAATCACCTGATTGTAATCCAAAACCTTGTCAGAGAACTTTAAGCAGTCACGACAGTGGAAAGAGAAAATGGACGACACTATGGTGAGATAAAAGGAAATAGTGATAATATTCAACCATAAACCAAAAAAGCCAAGACCACAGGCAAGAAATTTTCGAATAAATAATCATTCTATGCGAAAGTGCTCATCATGACAAACACAATTCATTGAGACACATTACTCCAGAGCAAACAAAAACATACACAGGATCAGTTGTTCAATTCTAAACATTCCAGAAAGATAAGGTAGAAGTAGTTACCCTGGGATGCATCTTGGTCATCTGGCTTGTTGAATCCAAATTGAGCTAGCATTTCTTCAAGCTCAGCCAGTTCCTTTTTCTTCAATTCTTTCTTTGACAACTGCCTTTCGGACTCCTTCCGTACCTGAACTTCCGCAGGCTTTTCTGTAATGATCTCCTTCTCTACTGGTGCTTCAGGTCCATGCTCATGTTCTTCCTCATTATCATCATCAACTTCATCAACACCTTCTTCTTCACTTTCACTTACCTGCAATACATAGAAGACAGTCAGCCCCCACCTTAACAAAAGAACACATACAGTGTAAAACCAAGTAACAAAGAAAGAGTTCCTGTTTACATGCTTGAAAATTATAAGCGGGGGTATTAAAAACATGATCAACCACAAGAAACTCCAATTATATGGAATAGCTAAGTTCATGACTGGACAATACTCTCATCATAATAACTTCAACTCAACGACCATTGTAAATCAAAGGTTCTCTTCCACACTTCTAATGTATGCAGATCTTTTACTGATCTATATCATCATAGACAAGTCAAAAACAATTTTAAAGTCAAAAACAATTTTAAAGTCAAAAATAATTTTAAGGTACGCAATTCACTTGACAGTCATATATCTGCAGACTGACACCCATGTAATAGGCTAATTGGTTACTATTAACAGCTCAGTAACATTCATCCATAACAAGGAAAGCTGAAAGCTTCCAGGCAAACAATAAACAAAACAAATATTAATTCTTCGTCATTTTCCAACTAAGAATGAAAAGAAACAAAAGAAATTAATTTCGAGATATTATCCAATAGGAGGGGAGATACTAGATTCAAGAAGTACGTCATTTGCACATTTCAAATTGATGTCAACACCCAAAAGTTTTGTCTATAACTTTGGAAAACTGGCCTCCACAATCCAAAGTGCAAAAGCGCTGCCTCGCAATGTACATAAAACACTTTCTCTACCAGAAAGTTCTAATAAATAGATACCAAAAAACAACAGAGAAAACCCTTGTAGGTTAGGTTATTATTGATTGTGATAATGTAACGACAGAGACGGACTGAATTGTCATCAATGCGTTACGACAAAGAAAGATGGATGAACAGGCATCCAATGAGATAAAAGCTCTTCCGTCATCAAATAAGGCAACAAATCGAGGGCCGTAGATGTTAAGAATCAGCGGCATATTGTAACCGAAGCCTTATGCGCTGTCAAACAGATGAACGTATATCCACACGTGTCCTCCGATTATATCATCACTGTACTTCAAAGCCTCAAATTTCCCATGCAAAGCTGATAAAAACACGCCAATGTGCAACAATAATGCAAAATCGCATGCACTTCTCCAGCCAAATCTTAACCCAACAACCCAAAATTCTGCAGATTTCTAACAGACATGTCTCCCACAAAAGCACAAACACACAAAAGCACTATCAGGAACACACAAATTTATCTATTGCAAACCATCATCAAAGAGTTAAAGAGGAAGAAACACCATGGCGCATAAAGAGCATGCAACCAAAATTCATAAAATGCAAACATTCAGCATCAAGTTAAGGAAAATCAAAGCTTGGACAAGAGAAATAAGAAACTTAATCCATCAGAGAGGCAATTCAAACGACACTGAAAGCAATTAATAAAAAATAAATAAAATCCCACAATGCATCAATATTAACCACGAGCCATAGTTTGGCAGCCCTTTCCTTCTCATTTCAAGGGTTTGGTTTTGGCCAGATAATTTGATAGTCATTTAACAACCATATTCAACAACAATGGAACCAAACTCAATCAATCAAGTGAAATAATATACTCAACAAAATACCAGAACTGTAAGACACGCTTTGCAACCCAAATAAAGGAATGAAAAAGAAATCGAAAAGAGAAGCCCACAAATGTAAACCTCGAGAGGAGTGGTGCTCTCCTTGGGCGGCTGCTCATCAGCGGCGGCAGAGTCACCGGCCCAAACAGATGGGAGAGGGGCGTTGGTAGCATAATAATCGTCATCATCTTCATCATCCACATCAGCCCATGATTTGGCAGTCAGCGGCGTAGGGGACCAAAAAACCTGGGGCTCAGGCTCCTTCTCCTCTTGCTTCTTAGCAGAAGACGAAGAAGAACTCTTGCTCTTATCCGATGACTTCTTCTTCTTCCTTAAACTTCCCAAAGCCGCAAAAACGTTGTTGTTACTTATCACTAAATCGTCCTTCCTGTTTCCGCCTCCCACCATTTTTTTCTTCCCTTTCCTGCCACAATCTCAACCTATATATTCAAAAACAGCCTCAAACAAACCAAAACCAAGAAAAACAACACACGCCCAGAAAAATTTATCCCCCAAAAAAGAAAAAAACCTTCTTATCAGAACCAAACGGGTTTCAAATTTATAATTTTTTGGTCTGAGTATCAGGCGTGTGTGTGTGTGTGCTTGTTCTGTAAATCGGTGGATGAAAGGATGGACAAAATAGACGCGGCGGCGAATTCTAGAGAGTAAAGAGGCGGTGGGAGATTGAAGGGAAAATGACGCGTGGCCGGTGAAAGGGCTGGCCTTTAGGGTTGTGGGTGGGGTTTGAGTTGGGGAGATGGAGGAGGAGGAGAAGCTGCGGAAGAAAGCGTTTCTGTCTGGAGCTAATTTCTTTTGTTTGCGTTTTTGTGTGTGTGTGTGTGTGTGGATTTTTTTTTGGGTAGAATGGGTTGAATGAAGATGGAAATTGGGAAGTTGTGAGGTATTTATACGGGTTCTCTTTGTTCGAAAGATAACGCCCTTTTTTTCTTTTCTTTTTTTCATTTTTACCAATAGTAGATAATAAAAACTGTTCTTGTTAAAAAAAAAGATACTACTAATTAAGTTCCATCATATTCATACATCATAGGATTATGTAAAAGTACTGTATGGAACAATCTTAATCATGTACTCCTTCTGTCCCAAAATTATTGTCCAATTTGATATTTCACTTTTAGTATAATTTGAACTAAAAATGAAAACCCAAAGTGGACAATTATTATAAGACGGAGAGAGTATATATATTATCGATTATTTAAAAAATTATCTTCGTGTACTGTGAACTTACGTTGCAAAAATGATTGTGATATTTTTCTTATATATAATTTTAATATCTCAAGTAAGATAATTAGTTTGAAATAGAAGTGGTATAGTTTTGAGAATTATGATTCATTATTTCTAGTTGCAACTTAAGTTTTTCTTCCTCCTCCTTTTTGTATGTACTTTTAAAATAGGTGTTTAGGTTTTTCAAATTGTTGCGTTCTCTCTCTATCATTTAGAAAACTCATTTTGACAGATTGCCAAAATCTGGCCTAAATAAATGTACGGAAGCCTTAAAAAAAATAAAACAAACACTACTACCTTTGTACCCAAATAAATAAATTAAAATGAAAAAGCTGTGTAATCTATATACATTTATATATCTCATTTTGATTGGTTTTCAAAGCTATTTATTGTTTTACATTTAATCATTCAAATAAACCGCCATTTCATAAACAAATTAAAATGCTATTTTAAATGAAATTGTATTCAGAAATTTTATCTTTATAAATTAAAATTAAGTATTCCATAATGGCAATTAAACGATTGAGCTAAGCTTGGAGATTCTGAATGAAGATAAGCCAGGTTTGCTTCCAGGTTTGATTTAGTAAATGAAATAGATGGACAACCCAAATGAAATCAGGTTTGTGGGGTTATTTCAGTAACCACTTTGAAAGAAATTTGCTTGGGCCATTTTGGTCCTTAAGGCCCACATTAAATTTCGTAGAAAAATGGCCCACGCATAATCTGTCGAACGGATTGAAGTTTGACTTTAATCATCTTTCACCCTCCATGAGCTATTTTTGTATCTAGAGTTTCGGCTCCCCCAGTATATAAAAAAAATAATAAAGAAGTTAATCATCTAGTAATCACTATTTTGAAGCTTAGGGAGGGTTTATGACATTGATCCTCCGTGTTGATTCACCGAATGAAGAGTGTTCCTTTTGCACAGGTGAGGATTCACAGAGCCCTATGGATACGATGACACATGCTAAATCTATGCACAATTAGGAATTGCATTCAGATAACTCGAGCTCGATTGTATACACCATCAGCGTATAGAGACTTGAAGCTTACAATTGAGATTTTTTTTTCCGAGCTTTTAACTGTACAACCAGCAGTCGATGATCAAAGAATATGGTATACAACAGTACACATTATGGTTGGTCTTTTTTAATCTCGGCGCTACCTCATGCTGCGGGACAATTTGTTGCCTCAAGAAAACCCATATTTCATCCCTCTTGTTGACTAGATTCTGCAGGTGAATCCTCCGAACTGCCACCTATTTCAAATTTACAGAGGGGGCAGGAAGCATTTATCTTGAGCCATTTATCCACGCATTCCGCGTGGAAGAAGTGCGAGCAAGGCAACTCTCTCAACTCATCATCATCCTCATATTTCGTCAAGCAAATACAACAGACCTGCAGAAAGTTAGTCCAAAGATCATCAGACCAAATGCAATTCAGTAGTTAGAGCCGAAACGCGAATCTACACTATACTGTAACGTTCCAGGTAGTCCACCAAAAAAAAATAAAATAAAAAAAATCCATATACAAGCTTGCTTTCAAGCTTTAGAAACCCCACAGCAATTGACTTTAAGCTTGCTTTAAAAACCTCAAGCTTTGTGACATCCTCCTTAGAGATCACACGTAATATGGCAAAGTATGCGAGACAAGCTTTAAGTTACACATTCTTTTCTAACCAAAAGGTCAAGCACTCAAACAAGCAAGCAATTGAATCACAACTACATGTTCCATTCTATATTTTCCCAACTTTAAATAGCATTAAGCACAATTTAGACTTACAGCATCCTCCCCTGAGATGGCACGCTCCTTTTCTGTCCCTACAGCCAAAAATCCACCATCCTCATATCCAGGACCACTTTCTGTACTGTTGCGACTTTGATTACTCTTTAACTTAAACTTGTGTTTCGGTAAAGCATTGATAGACTCCTCAGTGGCTCCTCTCATTCCATTCAAATCTTCACGAGCACCAAGGATGGGAATAATGCATGGAAGGCAGCAGCATATCATTGCACATAAAATAAAAGGCATGGCATATCCAATACAACTAAAGGTAAGAAACACCAAACACAGCCTGAAAAGAATACATGAGAGGACAAGATTTAGGAGGGTGAACTGTAAACATAGCTACACCATCAAAAGATGAGCGAAGCAACCTTTACCTGTACAAATTGGGGGCATCAGAAGAAGATGAATGGCCTCCAAAAATCCAAACATTGCCCACTACAAACCAAACCGCAAAAAAGCAATCCAAGGCCATTTTGAAGTGGTCCACCAGCAAACCAAGCCTGGTAGGAAAAAAAAAGAGATTCAGCAAGTCACTTACAGGAAAAGAGGTAATATACTGAGCTTATAGTGCTTGAAAATAAAATGGTCAGTAAATGGGGTCATAGGCAGTATTAGCCACATTCTAGCCGAAGGCTGCGAAAAAATGCATTTCTTTCATCTTTCATACAGATTGGTAGCGTGCAACAATGAGATTTCCATTTTAAACAATGTTTCAACTCTCTTAACACCTACTCACATATTTGCATTAAAAATGCAATCCATTTTTAAGAGATTTTATGAACACAGGGAGTTGTTTTGAACCATCACAAGTTATAACCTCTAAAAAATAATGCCATGAAATAGACAAAGATACAGGAACACAACTGACAAAAAATGCACAAACAAACAACTAAGTTGTCCGGGAACTGAAACTTGTTGGAGTGCAATGACAAATCAACCAGAATAACACAAAAGAGGATCAGGTCATCTTGGTATGCAAAGACTAAGAATGGTCTGTATTATCCCCTACAGCAGGATTTCAGAACCATAAGATCGTAGCAATGAGCAAATTAACTACCTAGCAGTAGGACTTGAGGTATTTTGACCATTCCAGGTACCCGAGGATGTATTCTGACCATCTTCCTCCTCAGAGGACCTCGTCAGCGAGATAGTTATGTAGGAATTGGATTCTACTGCTGAATTCCCACTTCTTGAGACTTGACGTGATGGAGTGGAACTCTGATCAATTGTCTGATTTCTATGAAGATATCGCCAATAGTAAAGAGGAAGACTTAAGGCACAACCAGCAGCATAACCAACAATCCAAGCAAACAATGGTGTTTGGGGGTTTTCATTTCTTGAAATATACAGAACAACCACCGCTGCAACAATTTGGCTAACTGTAAACAGTAACTCAAGGGAAATCCATAAAACCGTATTAAATGGGCTCCACCGGCGACCAAAACCTTCACCTCTCCTAGACAATGATGTGCTTCTAAAATTAGCACCAGTAGATGGTGGTGAGGGAGACTGAGTCACAGGAACTTGACTGCTACCTGAAGGTCCAGTTTGTAGATGGGATGTAATCAAACCACGAGGAGAACCAGTATGGGATGGGTCTGATGGGGCAGATTCATCAGCACGTTCTATATCAATAATGTGTGCATTACTTTCACAATGTTCTCCCCGCTCCAAGAGCAGAGGAAATCTATCAGTAGGGTTTTCTCTACTAGTTTCCGGTGAGCTAACAGCCATTAACGTTTCCAAAATTAAGCAAAACAAAAACAAATGCTAAACAGCTATTGTGGCTATGTCTCTAGATCTTCACAGCCGAGTTATCTGAAATCTTTTCAACTTTGTTGGTAAAGAAAAGGCAGAACTTCCTTAAAATTATGTCCAACATTCAAACACGGAGTGCCTGAGGAAAATGAAAAACAAAGAAAGTGTTTATCAAGTGAAGCAAAATGCATATTCGACAACACATCTGATATAAAAGCTATGAGTGACAGCATAAATCGTTCGCATCTTTCAACAGACAGTAAAGGACACAATCACAATGTTCTCCTACAGCCCATAACATTTTGACAATGCTTACACATATAGAGCTTTACATTGCTCAACGCCCACCCAGAACTTGGGGAGGTAGGAGGCCAGTTAATGCGGCCCCTGTAAATCAAGCACCAAAACTTCTAACTACCTCAAGACAACAGTGTCCAGGTACAGAAATTTGAAGAGAACAAGCAAACACTGTATTGATTGGAAAAAACAAAACTTCAGAAACAACAAAACTTGGCTACCCTAGAAACTCCCTCGAGCAATGGCATGCAAACAAAGGAAAGGATATGCACACAAGGAACGCTGAAATAGCCTCCCAAAGCGATCCCTTAATTTCAACAGAGTCTCAAGTCTAGCACAATATAACATTAACAATAACCACGGGAGGATCATCTCCCTAGTCCCTACTATATTAACAGCCCCTAAATTGTTTATGTACAGTATCCCGCACATATATAGAAATGCAAACAGATACTCACAGAGAAGGGCAAGCTAAAATAATTTTTCAGAATTAATCTTCCTGCATAGAAGAAGTACACACCAATTTTAAACTAAACTAAACTCAGCCAAAGCTACAACAGCGTCTCTGTTCAAATAAAAGGCAATAGAGTTTTTCAGAAGAAAAAGGAATCAGCTAAGAAACAAATATCCCCATTTCAGACGCATTTAATGCAGAAGTCTTCTCAATCAACCCAAAAATCTCAGGATAACAGTAAAAAGAAATCGAAAATTAAAAAGACAGAAGAATACCTAATCCAAATCCTGAATTTCAATATTACCAATACAATCAGCTAAATAATTCAACCCCGTTAATCCGCAGATGAAAGCGTAAAAAAGGCAAACCAAAACAAGCAAAGATAGAATCACAGGAAACAATCTAGGAAGAAATTAACCTGAAAATCAAAGAATTTTACCAGTGATTATTGTTCAGCGGGAGTTTGATCGACATGGTGATGACCTTGATTTTTTTTCCTTTTTCGAAAATTTATTTATTTATTTTCGTCTCCGTTGACACATGTCAGCTTCAAACCGATGATATATAAATTCTAGACCGACTTTTTTTAATTTAATAATAAAGTAAACAGCTCCGTTTCAGCTTACCAATAATTTCAGCACTAAAGAAGTGTACTATAAAGAAAGAACTGGTAATAAAAAAAAATTAAAAAATAAACCCATAAAATATTAAAATAGCTGAAAATGGAAATATAAAAAAAATGAAAAGAAAATGATCCAATGGATAATTCAGTTTATCTTATTTTGGAATTTTGGAGGAGCGGAAAGTTTAACGTCAATATCTGAAGGGGCAGGTTTGGAAGAATTCGCTTCTACACGCGGACAAGAGATTCGGTCACACTGGGGCCTAATAATTATCATTTGACTTGGGCTAGTTGGTTGTCTGAGTCAATCTTGGGCTTTTTAATGTGCAAAGTAATCTTGGGTTTTTTCTTTTCTTATTATTCTACTTTGCTTTTCGACGCTTTTTAATTTGGTTTTCCCGCGATTAGAATCGCTATGTTGCAACATTGAAATGTCTTCTCTTAACACGTTAGTCGGGCAACAATATTTGAGGCACATGCCCTAGCTAGTTTGGTCTATCGCTTCGATGATTGTAACTTTGTAATTTTTAAACTATTTTTTTCCGATAAAATCAAAATGACTTGTTACAATCTTAATACAAGCACAAATAAGATGATGAGAAATCATTAATATCAGCAATTTATTTTTGTTCCCATGCAACACTTGTTCAGAGCCCAGCTCCACATATAATGGCAACTTTCTAGGCTGAGGCCCAAGCCCACACTACCATTATCAAGTACAGCTTTGCAAAATGGAGTGTCCATTAAGGAGTATTAAAGTCAATTTAAATTTAAGAGTTTTTCGTCTTTTTCTTTTGAAGTGTATTATCTTCTCCGTTCTAAATAAAATTCAGTTTGTGAAAAACATTTCTAGATAACAACTAATATTTTAATGTTATAAGACGACAGATATATTAAATTATAGGCACTTTTATTAGGATCAATTTGTGTTGGCATAAAGCTTGTATAGTTCTATCTTGTACTGCCCTTAAAATAAGCATGAATTTAACAATATCTCAATTCCATTTCCCAAGTAATCCATACAGGGAAAACTGATCTTATACTTCTAGTAGTTGGTATGCTTATATTCTCTAAAATCTCACATCACAATCTTTGATTTACTATAATGTAAGGTATACTCTCAATACTTAGCAGTTTGCAAATATTCCACCCACTCTAATATTAATTAATGGTCTGTTTTGTGAAAGTAATCAATCTTTTTTGGTTCCCCCTTTACGAGTAATAAAGTGCATCTTCTTGTGTTCTATTTTAAAAGCATAGTCAATGTGTGATCATTTGAGGCCACAAGTTAGGATTCCAGAGAGCACCAAAGGTGGAGGGGGGAGAAGGAGGTGTGGAAGCAAAGCTAATTTGGCGATTTTTAATTAGAGAACATTAAAGTAATGTGCCACTGCCACACTAGTGTAATTTTTGATAAAATGTCGATGTCGATGATTCGATTCAGAATTGACTACTAACTTCTAACTTAAATTGACGTAATTTGTTGTCCTTTTTCTCTTTTCATCATCTTCCTCCCGAGGGAGGGAATGGTTTTAATTACAATGCTCAAGTTCTGTGGTCATCAACCCTCCATTTTTAGTCCTTTAAGCCCTACATAAAGATTCTTTTCTTGCAATCTTATTAGCATCTTAAATTTGTACTCTTCTGCCAGCTAATGAAACTTGCAAGAGAGATGACGATGACAAAAACTCATATTTTCTCTGTTTTAAAATTTTTGTCCAATTTACATTTTTAATTTATAATATAATTTGAATAAAAATGAAAATTCAAACTGAACAATAAGTATGAAACAGAAAAAGTATCACATAACGCTTTGCGTCTCATCAAAACAGTTGGTTTTCTTGAACTTTCTACGCGACCAAGGAGTATTAAATATTGTCCAAAACTTGAAAATAAATAAAAATGCCCACATGACTTTAACAAAGGAGTATATCTTTGATTATGAACACTGAACAGAACAAATGTACAAATCAAATCGACGTCGATCGATTTGGTAGAATGTTGACACGATGTGTTACTAGTAACTACAAACTACGAATGTGCTAGACAAAGAAGCATCGTTGGGAAGCATATTAGGGTACAGAGGATTCTTCGATGGGACGGATTATCAATCACATTGATTCTAACGATTCTTCTGATTTCATTGTTTGCGTGTGGCACGATGAAATTTTTGGCCGTGGGAAAGTCTTTTACTTATTAGATTAAGCATATCCCACATCGGAAGCTATGTATGATAATATTCACTATATAAAGATTTGAAGTAATAATAATCAACAGTTATGGTATGAGAGTCATATTCTAATAATTAACTCAAAGTTGTTATTAGAACCTGGCTCTGATACCATAATTTTTGTAAATATACTAATTTTAACCATAATTTTTGTATTTGCTCTAATAATTTTAACTTTTTTTTTCGTTTGCTCTAATAATTTTTCATTTTTTTTCCCCTCCATAAAGTTTACTATCTTCAAGTTTGGTGTTTTTTAAATTTTTTTCAAAAAAAATTCAGCCTTGTCCATAAATCTTCAAGTTTGGTGTTCGGTATTTTTGTTTTCCCCTGAAAATGTGAATCTTCATGTTGGGGACGAAGGGTTCTCAAAAGTGTTTATATGTAAGAAGCATGAAATTAAGGGTTATTTATTTAGGAACAACTTTTACTTTTAAAAAAATAATTTCTGATCTAAAGATACCTATGCCGGTATAAAACAAAGGAAAAATATTACAATCAAATATAAATTGTCTATCAAACTTTATCCCTTTCAGTGAGTAGACGTAAATTTTTCAATCTCCATGTAAAGTTCCGGAGACACTATAAAAAAAAAAAAAAAAATACTAATATATCATATAATATAACATCATCAATTTTTAGCTTTTCACTCATTCGAAACCATGAAATTTTGATGTCAATCGTTGAACCATGAACTCCTTTGGGTTTTGACAAAATGAACAAATACTGGAGTACTCGTTTATGGTTGAACGATAAAAACATGAATGAGCTCCATGGGTTTTGACCAATAATTTTTATTTTAGACCGAGTTGAGTATGTGTTTGATTTTACCACTTTTACTCATCAAAACTAGAGATGAATTTGAAGTTTATGAACTTTTCGTCAAAGTATTTAGAAGCGTACGTTATCCCTTGGATCATGGGAATGTTAGTCAATAACTTGTAAAAAGCACCTTTGACCAGATCTGGTGCTATAATAATTGTTCCATTTAGGAGCACTGCTAATAAAATACTAGTACTATATATACAGCTTTTGATGAAATCATGAAACATTAACGTCATGGATGAGATTAATCATTCTCTTAACTTCACCGAAAAGGCTCTTAAGTTGTTAATTATTTGTTTTTCTTATTTTGTTGAATTAATTAATTATTTGTATTTTCCTTCCCCCTCATCCATCCCCCATTCCCCCAATGAGGAGGCTAGCTTCTCTCCCACCCAACAAAAGTATGTGCTGACTTTATCACGGCAATAGTTCACATACTCTTATAAGTAATTAACAAGTCGGATCGTTACTAAATAATAGTCGTGTCTTAGTGATATTAAGATAATTAAATTGATTAAACAATCTAAGAAGACGTCATGGAGGAGGAGAGAGCTGGTTTTGTTTTAAAATCTCTACTCTTTTTAAAGGCAAATCGTTGAGCTTAATTTCTCTAGAGTCATTATTACCATGTTATCCTATTCTCTCCGCCCCAAATTGATTTATAACACTGACTAATCGCAAATAATTATTTACAAGTGTGGTTTCAGGATTATAATATACTACATTACATTAGTTTTCAGAAACTCTGTGATTCTCGTATAGTATGATCCAGTCCATGTTTCAAACTCCCTTCTTATAAAATAAATTTCACTTGAATAAAAATAGATTATAACATTACAATAATTTCTCTATATGAATGAATTTCATACTCAGAAATCTCGATCAAGGCTATCAAACTATGAACACAATCCAGAGTTATAGTGATCACTAGAAATGGTTTTTTTAACCAAAAAAAAAAAAGAAAGATAAAAGGGACCCGCGACAGGAAATATATTTAGGTTAACTGCATATATGGCCTGAAAAAAATATTGAAGCTTTGAACAAACTACAATAATATTAGACAGTCTAGATTGAAAGGTGATTAAACAATGTCAAAAATCAAAATGTTGTAAACTTGGACACATATGCGTAATGCGCTTATACATGTTAGCAAAAGAACGGGGTAAATGATCAGTTGCTGATCCGTTTATTAATTGATTTTTTAGCTCAACAAGAATACCTACCTTACCCAATCATACATTTTTTATTTTCAAAATTCCAGGCAAAGGATAATCTAATTATATACACCACCACAAATACTGGTAGGGTTTTGTTTCTTTAATTTTCTTTTGGGTAAGGAACAAATGCACTGGAGAAACGTTGGAAAGAAGGCTATCCAGTTAAGTTTGGTTCACATGTCACTAAAATTACTTCTGCATGCATGGCTGAATGGGGATCACATGAGTTCAATTTCCAACTCATGCAAAGTTCTTTCGTTAATAATTATTGTAATCCCTCCTGGAATTGTTCGTGGAATTATTTTATGAACTTTATGTCCCTCAATCCTTCTCAACAGTATTTTGCAGAATTAATCACGGTCAGACACACACACACACACACACACACTTGTGTTATGATTCAAGAGCTAATCACAGTGAACTTGACTAGTACTTTTTCTATGTTGGTGTGATTTATTGATGATATACATTTGCCATTTTCGAATATATATTTCAAAAAATATATATAGACATATACCTACATATCTCCTTAAGAATTAAAAGAATTCCTCATTTTCAATCAATATAAAATTAAATCTACTTTATTAAATGTTCGACACTTAATCAGATTCCACCGTATGCATGCAATTGCAATGTATAGTAGTAGTATGTGTGAAGATCGAAGTTTAATTCTGATTTCTGGTAAATTTACTCCTCGGGACTTAATATCTATTGAATTTCTGGTCAGTGAAGACTGTATACAGTGGCAGCATGGCAGGTCTTTCCGTTGACCCTGGTAGGA